AATAAAGTAAAATTTTAGGTTTTTTTTTAAGTAGTTTTTATAAGTATTTTTCTAGCTAGTAAAGCCTTAATTATCTTAATTAGGATATTAAATACTAATTAAGACTAAGAAGATAAATAAAATATAGAATTTAATACCTATAAGTTAACTTTTACCTTTAACTATAACTTTATTATAATAGTAATATAACTAATCCTAGATATTCTTTTAATCTTATATACTTAATTAGGCCTTTTTAGCCTAATTAAGTACTTTATCTACCTTATAACTATATAACTAAATAATAAGACCTTTTATATATAGTTCTATACTACTTAGTAATAATAGTATTACTAACTAAGTTTAACTACTAACTAGAGATAGACGTTTAATTAATAAATTATAGCCTTAATTAGACTAAGGTCTATTAATTAACGTTATTATCTTCTTAGATAAAGGTTAGTAAGTTACCTTTGTGTTTATAGGCGCTTAGGGTGCACTAGTAACAAGACCTTTAGGCAGGGTTATTTAGATTAGTTATATATATACTAGCTATCCTACTGCCTTGTGTATTAATATCCTACTTAGTTTTAATAGTACTTTAATAGGCCTATAAAATTATATATAAAGAGTACTTAACTACTAACTAAGAATTTATTCTTTAGAGTATAGTTAAAGTAGTTAATAACACTATAGGCCTTAATAGTCTTATACTAACCCTTTTAGTATTTAGCGTTTACCTTTATATAACTACTAACTTTACCTTTTTACTTAATATTATTTAATAGGTAGCTACTATCTAAAAGGCTACTAATAACCTTTATAAGAGTTATATAATATACTAGGTTTATAAGGCTCTTAAGGTATATAATAGCCTAAATACTTTTATTATTAAAGACTTACTATAAAGTAGTAAAGTATAAGTATAGTATAAAAAAGGCAAGTAGTCTAGCCTATACTACTTACTATTTATTAATAGTAAAGATTATACTATTAATATTAATAGCCTATATAACTTCTATTTTACTTTAGTTAAACCTTACTACACTAAGAAAAAGATAAGTAAGCCTACTAATATAAATCCTTAAACTAATTAACCTATAAATACTAACTATACTAGTAAATATATAAAAGATACTATTATTATTACTATAAAAATAAGAAAACCTATCTAAATAGTAACCTCTCTTCCTCTATAGTGTACCTATAGGCAACTATATAAGACCTTAGTTAATATACTACTATAGGAAATAAATAAACCCTCTAGTGCCTTCCTCTTAGCTAAAGAAGAGGCTAACCTAGCACTTATATAATAACTATATAACTAAGGCATTATTACTATACCTAGTAAGCCTTTTAAATAGTTAAGAAAAAGTAAAATTTAAGGCCTTATTAACTATAGTATATTTAAAATTATTATATATAACCTTTTTATTTACTAAGGCTATATCTTTAAATTTTACTTTATTAATAAAGTTAAAGGTAAAAATAATAAGCTATATAAGAAATTATAACTAGTAGTATAAGGTTATAGTAATAATAGTAAAAAAACCTTACTAGTTTAGTTACTTATAATTTAAAGAGCTAGCTAGTATATAATTCTTATACTTACCTTTTCTCTTATAGCTAATAGTAAAGTAATATAACTATAAAATATAATATAGGCCTATATATAATTAACTTTATAACTTAACTACACTATTTATATATAACTTCCTTTTTAGATCTATAATTACTACCTTTAAAGTACTATTATAAAGGTAGTAAAGCTATTATATAGCCTTACTAAAGTAAGTACCTATTAATAAGTAACTTATAACTACTACTACTATAAAAAACTTAATATAGTTACTACTTTATATAACTTATACTTACTTTTTTTATTTATAAAAAACCTTAACTTTATAATAATTAAGATATAGATAAATAATATAATTAGCTTAACTAGTGTTAATTTTTTTAATTATAAAGATAATAAGCTTACTAAAGTAAAGCTTCTTATAAAATAGAAAATTTTACTTATAAAGAATAAACCTTTAGTATTTAATAAAGGGATTATCTTATTAACTTTAGCTAAAAATACCTTTATTATACTTTACTAAAAGGGCTAAGGTATAAAGCTAAGACTTATTAATAAGAAATTACCTATAGCCTAGTAAAACTATATCTAGTAGTATACTTAAGGAGTATATATTACTTTTATTTATTAGCCTAAAGTATACTTTAACTTATTTACTATAGCTTAGTATAAAGAGCTAGATAGTAAAGCTATTTAGTAACTTAACTAAAGAATCTAGTAGTAAATAAATTTACTTAACTATAGCTTTACCTTTATTTCTTTTAACTTACTTAATATAAAGCTTTTTATATTTATTAATAAATCTTTTACTAATAATTATAACTTAACTTTATAGTTAAGATTTATTATCCTTTTTACTAATAAAAAGGTTAATAATAAGTAAAGTAAGTTTATCTTCTATAGTAATATTCTTTATTTCTTATTAACTAAATCTAAATAAGTAATATAAAGTATTCTTATATTAAAAGTCTATAGTATAGTTATAAGTATTAATATAGTGTATACTTTCTTTATAACTATTATAATAGTAGTAAATAAGCTTAGTAACTTATTAATCTTTACTATTATTTACACTAACTTATACTTACTATATAAGTGCCTAGTAAAGTTAAGAACTACTTATAAAAAGTACTTAATAATTAATATTATAGTACTATAATAATTATATAAGTAATATAAGCTCTTTAAGGTATAATAGATCTATAGTAATAATAACCTTACTAATAGGTTTATAAAGTCTTCTTTAAACTAAGCACTTAAGAGTCTTATTTCTTATAATAAAGTAAAAATATAAATAAAAAGATAAGTTATATAAATATAATAAAAAGTAATAAGAATAATAAAATATAAGATAATAAGCACTTAAAAAAAGAAATAGGTTATATAAACTATATAAATTAATAGTAGTTAAATTTATTTAATATAAGTATATAACTTTAATAACTATAGCTAAAGAGAAATATACTTAAATAAAATAGTATAAGCCTACCTTTACTAAGTAAATAAATAAATAAATTTATAGTAGTATATAACTATAAAAAGTATAATACTTTTACTTTTCTTATTTTATTATATTTTTAGGCTTTTTAGAAAAAATAAGAGCACTAGTGACTTTTACTATATAAGAAAGTTACTAGTGTTAGTATATAGGTAATATAGCTAGAGGCAGTAGGTTATATAATATACTACCTACTAGTAGAATCCTTTACCTTTGCCTATACGCAAGGGTACTACTACACTTATACTCCTACTTTACCTTGTTAACTAGTTAACTATTAATAATAATAATTAACTACCTTTTCTTAACCTTTGTGATATTATAAGATATAGGATCCCTATTAATTAACTAGTGAAAAACTAACAGTATTCGAATCTGTGGTACTTGCTAGAACTTTGATAATCAAAGGAGAACCTTAATTATGAAAATCCACTCAAGAAGGGCAAGGACGTTTTAGAGTTGAACCGATTTATTATAGATGCACAATACAAGTGACATAACTTTCTGGCCCCTCGAGTAGTTACAACCACCAACACATAGCGTTATAAACTAGTCATTTATATTCGGCTGCGATCGACATCGCGGCGGATAACATAGCAGATGTTTTAGACTCGGTACAGTCTGAGGTCCGAATAGTTCAAAGGTCAGTACGATCCTCATCCACATTCTAGTCTGATTTTACGACTGTGTTCTAGGGCATTGCTCTGCTATAACGGCGCTTCGAGACTTAATGAGAGACAGAAAATGAGACAAAGTATCGAGTATATAGAATGATAGTCTGGAAGTCGCGGTTTGGACAAAAGGTTATGGATGATATGGCGCGTCGGCGGATTCTGACTATCTTGGCTACTCGGCAGTTGCCTGTCATGTACGTATCCCGCGATCCAGTACTGGAATCTTTGTTTCTAAGTTTTTGGGCAAGCTTGCTATCATCCTGAGCCACTGACGCGGAATCTTGCCACTATTTAGATGAAGCATTCCAATCTCGCCGCTTCTCCCTTCGGTTGTCTTTCCCCCTGACAACGCATGTGTCAGCCAAACAATCAACAAGAGTAGCCTTTGGTTTAATAGCAAATATTGGAGCTTCGATCTCTTGTGATGTGCAGCTTTGCCGAACGCCCACGACGAGTTCAACCTGTTAGCCAGACACGATCAGAGACCACCTCCTCGTGTACTTCGTCCTGGACCTGCTCTTTCACCGGTTCAAAGAAGACTCATCTATAAACAACCCGCATCTCCGATGGTCACCACAAACTTTGCGGATCACTTCGGTAAGCGCCAAAAGAAGTCTCCTGCATCTGCAGCCGCTCACTCCCTGTTAGACGGGTGCTCCTTCATCTACGAAGATGACCGCACAGCCATCGCAAATGAGCATGCGATGGACAAGAAAAGCCTTCCGATCAGGCAACAGCCCAGAGACCGAGGGACTCCAGCCCTGGATCAGCACGAGAACATCCGCGCGTGGCTGTCCGGGGTCGTCGTCGATGAGGAGAGCAAGCCCCTCGTCACGGATGTGTTTTCCGCACTCAGCAACCTACCGAACGCAGACCTCGCTCACTTGCAGGGCGGGGGTCACCCGCCGAGGGACCAGCCGCAGCAGGGGCGAGCAAACGTGAAGGTGCACACGATGGGCCCGGGGTTCATCGGGAGGTCTCCGCCGTTCGGGTCGTCCGAGTTCCTCGCCAACATGGTCCTGGTGGCAATCCTCCTGCTGTTCGCGCCGGGATTCACCATCTTGGCGGCGGGCGTGTTTGTGACTTCGCGCGTCGCCGAGCGGTGGGTTGGTCAGGACCAATGAGTGCGGCAAATGCGTTTTGACGTGAGGAATGTTCGTGACGAATTTGGACGGCTTTATGAAACTTACGTGATGAATGTGGCGAGGGCACGCATGCAAGACTTAATATATCTGAGCATCACGAGGAATGTATTCTTTAGGAATGAAATGAAACATCAACAACCACCGATTATGCAATGGAAGTTACAAGGCTTTCACAATGAATTGTATTCAAGGGTTGGCTGCTCGTTTGATTTTCGGGTATTTACGGATATATGGCTGGGCATTGCGCCCTCGGCCCTCCGTGCAACTTGGATCATAACTCCCGCGCAAATGTCACGCGAAACCTGCCTTTGAATTTCTGACTATTGGGCCAAGAAGGCCCAGCTGACAGACGGGATGTTCTACTGAGGTCTGTTCTTATGCGGGAGCGTTGTTCAACGCCCGAGTCTCCAGTGTGCCGCGCCCGTCTCTTGATGTCTAACGTTGAGCTGTTGGTTGACAATATGTTGCCATGCCACCCCTTGGTTGTATACAATCAAGTCTCGCACTAGTCGGTAACAAGATCCGCAACTACTGGCATCGTGGTGGGCGATCGGTAAAGTTGCATCTTTCGGAACCTTAGGCCCCCGGAGCCGATTTCAACAGCCATGCTCGATGTGTTTTCTACGCAAGCCATGAGCGCTGCCTCTTGGGTTCGCGACATCAGTGGTCCAGGTGTTATCAGTTTATTCTGAGCGTGATGTGAGGAGGAGGCCCATCCTTGATTCCGCCAACGGACAAATCAATCCCTAACCGCGTGGGTTATGTTCAGCAGCAAGACGTTCACTTGGACACGATGACGGTCCGTGAAGCCCTTGAATTCAGTGCCCTGCTCCGCCAAAGCGCAGATACTCCACGTGAAGCCAAACTGGCTTACATTGATGAAGTCGTCGAGTTGCTCGACATGAGCGACTTTGTTGACGCCGTGGTTGGCGTCCCTGGCCAGGGACTCAATGTTGAACAGCGCAAGCGCTTGACCATTGGCGTCGAGCTTGTAGCCCGACCGCAGCTCCTGGTCTTCCTCGATGAACCGACATCAGGACTCGATTCCCGGACGTCTTGGGCAATTTGCGACCTCATCAAGAACCTAGCGAGGAGCGGACAGGCTGTTCTTTGCACCATCCATCAGCCGTCAGCGATGCTCTTCTCTCGATTTGACAGGCGTCTTCTGCTGCAACGTGGTGGTAAGACGGTGTACTTTGGGGGTGAGTGCTTCTCTTCCGTTACGCAAGCGGAACTAGTACTAATACTATCAAAGATATTGGTGAAAACTCAACAACCATGATCGACCATCTTGAGCGTAATGGCGCGCCACCTTGTCCTGCTGATGCGAACCCCGCAGAGTGGATGCTCAAGATCACTACAATGTCCGAGGATGGTCCCAAGTGGGACGATATTTGGCCTTCATTCAAAGAGTACAGTGAAGTGAAGGAGGAGCTCAAGATCCTACGTCAACAAGACACACATCAGCTAACAACAGATGCGGCAGGCGACGAGATTGCTCACCAAGAATTTGCATCGTCATTCTGGACGCAGTTTCACCACGTCTTGGTACGCACTGCCAAACACTTTTGGAGATCGCCTGTTTATACCTGGTCCAAACTTACACTAACATGTCTCATAGTAAGACATCTCACCGCATTATAGCGACATTGCTAATCATGAATACACAGGCTCTCTACATCGGCTTTACCTTCAAGTCAGATAACAGCTTGCAGGGCCTGCAGAACCAGCTATATGCCTTCTTCATGTGTCTCACTACTGTTAATGAGTTCAGCAAGCAGATAATGCCAATGCTCATCCCTCAGAGAGCGCTGTATGAGGCCCGGGAACGACCTTCGTGCGTCTATCGGTGGACCAGTGAGTTAAGATGTGATCCATGACTTGCAATACTTTGCTAACCCTTCCAGCGTATCTGTTATCGAACATTGTCGTCGAAATGGTATGGAACACCATTGCAGCGGTCGTCTTCTTCTTCTGCTGGTATTATCCCGCAGGGTTCTTCCGTAACACTACCGCCGACGACGTCAATATGCGCGACTTTACCGCGTTTGTTTTCATCTGGGTGTTCTTCCTTTGGATGAGCACCTTTTCGCAGATGGCGATCGTAGCTATAGAAACAGCCGACCTCGCCAGCATCCCAGCCAGTCTCTTCGCCATCCTCTGCATGTCTTTCTGCGGCGTAAGCGTTCTCCGTAGCGACCTCCCCGCAATCTGGAGCGATTTTATGTATTGGGTCAGCCCGATGACATATCTTGCCAGCGGAGCATTGTCGGCCTGCTTGCATGGGTCCAAGGTCACATGCACGGCCAAGGAACTCGTGTCAGTTCCGTTACCAGCGAACATGACGTGCGGCGAGTTCCTCGGTCCTTTCGTCCAAAGTGCAGGTGGATATCTCGTCAATTCTGCCGCAACGGACTTCTGCGCTTACTGCCGGATGAGCACCACGGATGACTACCTTGCCCATTTTGAGATCAAGTATGACGATCGATGGAGAAATTTTGGTCTTTTGTGGCTATACATTGGCTTCAACATCAACGCTGCATGTGGCTTGTACTGGCTGGTGAGAGTGCCCAAATGCCAAGTGGTGAAGCGCAAATAGTTTAAGAATTGGAGTTGTCCTAGTCTATTGTACGCGTATACTATTGTAAAAGTAAAGAGTAGGGGGTTTGCTTGAATAGGACCCGAAAGTCGATAACCAATATTAGCAGTAATCAAGATGATGAGAGACACTCGCCATTTGCTGCTGAGAGTATACGATGAAGGAACGTCCATTTTCGGCCAAGCTACCTGTAGTCTCTTTGGAAGAGCTCCGCTTATCCGAGTCTCGGTGTCGGACGCTGGTGGATCGCGATGGATGAAGGCTTTGCCGCCATATCGCGGGGTTTCTCATCTGCTTCCCCACACCAACGTGGAAGGTGGATCAAAGTGAAGCGCTTCATGCGGGGTTCCGTGAGGGGGTGTAACTGGGGAAATCATTTAGCCATTGAAATCTTTAACCACTTCGAATTTGGGCTTCTCCAAGACCGCCACTGAATGAAAGTTCAACTTCTTCATCTACAAGTTTGACTGTGCCAGAATCTTTACAGCATATCGTCACCATGGCAAAATCGATCCTCCTCATCAATGGTCCGAACCTGAATCTCCTGGGCACCCGCGAGCCACACATCTATGGTTCGACCACGCTCGAGCAGCTCGAGGCATCTTCGAAAGAACACGCAAAGTCGCTCGGCGCAGACCTGCAATCATTTCAGTCCAACACGGAAGGTGCCATAGTCGACCGCATTCACGCAGCGAGGGGCAACGTCGACGTGATCATCATCAACCCGGCGGCGTACACCCACACGAGCGTTGCGATCCGCGACGCACTCCTGGGGGTAGACATACCCTTCATCGAGCTGCATATCAGCAACACCCATTCAAGAGAATCGTTCCGACATCATAGCTACTTGAGCGACAAGGCAGTGGCAGTCATCATGGGTTTCGGAATCCATGGGTATGGGTACGCGATCGACCATGCGGTCAAAAACATTAAGCCCAAGGTCTGAAACAAGAGTCCCGCGAATTAGAGGAAGAAATATAAGATCGTGCTCACTCTTTTATGGGAGAAAAAGAGAAAATAGGCAATTCCATGTTGCTGCCGCTTGTGCGTATGCGATTGGACTTCGGGATATGCCCGAGAGGTTTAACAACGTTACGTTACGGTCAACTGGGAATAGTAACTTTCGGCTACATTCTTCTTTGTATATTACTCCCAAGGAACATTCGAGTCACCAGAAGAGTAATATCTGTATTTCAGTGAATACAATGTTCCTCAGCGCCAACCGAGACTTCTATTATCACCGCCCACGGGTTCTTATATATTGTACAAGTATCAAGTCTTTGTTTGCTACGTTATCTTGCCTGCAGGCACCAATCACAACAGTTGGGCCTGTGCATTGATTAGCTACGTATTTCTATAGGCTACACAAAATCTAACGCCTCAAGGAGTTCAACCGATCTTGATGTAACATTGGTCTCCGTGACGGGGCTTCATGAGTGTTGCGTCATTTGGGAGGTTGCTCGATAATCGCAAATTTGGTGCAGGTGGCTCATCCTAAATGGGCTTTCCCTCCCCCCGTAAGCAGAAGATCAATGAATATGGGAACTTTGATTAACTGACGTGGACGTTAGTCCCGATAAGAATTAGTGCTGGCAGTTGAGATACTGGGCGCGGGTAAAGTCGGCGTCAGCAGCATCGCGAACTGTTTTCGTGACGCGAGACACCCATATCCACATTAATTTTCTTTAAAAAAGATGTCAATTTTCTAACCTAGGAAGTCATGCTATTATCTTTCAACTTTGTTTCCATCATCTTTTCAATCCATTAAAAAAAATGATCACCGGTTCGAAGTTTTTCGGCGGCCGCTATATCCTCGCTCTTACAGCCGCTGTACCGTGCTGTCTGTTTGCCAAACACGTATGGGATATTTACGCCCGTATTCGCCCGGTGGAAAAGCGCCGCATCACCATCACAGGCGGAATCTCGAATAACTTCAAGGAATCTCATAGTCTCAAGGGATTAGTGAATCCGAGAGACCATGTTATTCTTGGAGACGCATATCTTATGGACTTGCCCCTCCCACAAAACATTGCTGCGGAAGACGCGACAGACGAGATATTGTTGGCAGCTTTTGTGAGGGGATATTTTGCGGGCAAAGTCTTTGCAATCGAAAGAAACTTGCTGCAAATTGCGCGAGTAACATTTGTGTCCTATTCTGGTAAGTTACAGGTTGATTCAGGGGTGCATGTTGAGCTTAATGGTTCGTATCTTGACACCTGCAAGGCCTTGGCTTGGCCACCGCCAAGACACCACTGTGGGAAACATCGGCGCTGTCACCAACCTCTCTCCCATCGATGCACTCTATACTTTTCGGTGCATTCCAGGTCAGCCATATCGAATTGCAGGACTCTAGCGATCTTGTTCGAATACAAGAGAAAAGGGAAAGCAGTATCGATTTTGTGTTTGGCGCCGACGATACTCATTTTGCAGGCGCTCATAGGTTTAGCATCGCCCGAAATCAAGAGCGCACCGGAGAGGTCAGAATTCTTTATGAGCATATGGCGTGCAATCCAACTATCAACCAACCTCTCAAGCCGGATTTCTTGTTTCTCTTTCACACCTTTTACGCCATGCTGTTATTCCAGGAGGGGCTGGCTGAGGTGATGCAAGTTTTGGAAAGAGGCCCACAAAGGCAATGAGCGCAGCAAAACAGGAACTGAGGATTCATAAGCCTGTTCTCTTTTGATGTACTACTAGGATCGAGTTGTTGATAAGTCCGCTACACTTTCTAAACACACTCAGCAAAACTAAAAATAGCTTTTCCTTTCACTCTTAGTATTGCGTCGATGCATTGCTAGCACCTAGTTTATCGAAGTCCGCAATTTCCATCCGTATTCAGGGAATACCAACTTGTAGCCAGCCACAGAACTTAGAAGGCAAAGGTACTGGAAATACAAAGCAACCTTTCTGACGTGAGCTTAGTTACCACTAAAATTTTGTAACAAAGAACTCGTTGCAGAATGTGGAGGAGACAGATCTCGGCAATAAATATGCTACAATAATACTTCGGAAGCCAACGCATATTAATAAATCAACATGACACGTTGAACCTATGATGATTACTCAAGTAGCTATCCATCCCTATAGCAACACAATTAAGCTATAATCACGCTTCTCATTTCTGCAAACAGTGCAGCAGAGAACTCCGCTTACAGTTTCTTGTTTCATTTGGCAATGGTGCTCTCTTTTCCACGGTGTTCAATAAGTCAGAAGGTTTTCATTTCAAGCAAGTAATGAACTGCCTTGATTCCGTGGCCTAAGACTATAGTACCCGCTGGAACCATTCATCTCCCAGGATTAGTAACAGAAAACCCCTTAATAGGAAAATTGAAGTTGATGTGATGGACCTCCATATCGCCTACACCCTGCGGCATGTAAACCGATTTGTCCGCATCCTTGCTTGACTCATAGTCCCTCCACCCGATGAACCCAAGCCAGATAGTGCCCTCAGGTGTGTTTGACGCCCCAATACCCGAGTGGGCAGCAAAACAACCTGGCAAGGTTTCTGCCTTTTTAAGCTTGGCAGCCATCTCCTCTGCGTTGCCACTACAGTGACGAATCGTAACAACCTCACAGATAGGGCTGTTGATGACCTGAGGCGGCGGAGGGACGAATGTGTTCGTATCGAGATCAAATCTGGGACATTTGGTAGGGATGGGTCCGGCAAGTACTGGCTTCAGAGCCTCAACTGCTTGCTGATGTTGCGGGGACTTCCCAAATGCAGCGCGACTCTCCAGAGAGGCCCAAGCTATGAGATACGCACCATCGTAAGTAATGACAGGCACATGCTGGAAGTAATGGGTGGATTCGAGTGGATGAGAAAGGTACGTACTAGCCATTATCTCCAACTTATGCGAGTCCTCCTTCCAAGGACCCCATCGATAGCGGAAATAACCATCCGAGTCTTTTACAGATAACAAGAATTTCTTGTATTCCTCTTTCCAATCTGGAACATCTCCTACGACGTCAAGAATAATCCGTGTAGGTCCAAGACTCGGTGGGGCAGCCATGTCGATCGACTCTATGGGTATGAGTATGCTTAAATTTGGCAAATGAATAGCATGGATAGCTCAATGATTGATCGTGCATTTCCATTGGAGTTTTGTGGCACTTCTTATAGTTCTCTAGGTGCCAACCAAGGCAGCAACTTGGGCAATGCGCATTGGCTTCATAATTGCTGTCTATCCGAATCCTGGTTTCCTTTGTATCATGCATAAATTACCGTAGCGGGAAGCCGCACCGCATTTCTTTTGAAACATGCCGCTTAGGCTATGTGAAGGCAGTTGACCAATTGCAGATTGCATCCCTCCCTCGCACGTCGGTTGGAGAAGTGCTGGGTTTGTCCAAGCTGAAAGTTTACAGAGGTCGCAAACCAATTTTCTGCTATGACACCCACATATTTACTCAGCGATAAGCACCCCACGAGTAACAGGATCTTTGCGTCGCAGACTAATGAGTAAACCCCTCGGGGTAACCTTTGTGGTCTCACGCCGACAAACCCAACACACGCCCGCCCGGTCAGGTCTTCGTAAAAGCGTTTTGCATACAAAGCAGTTGAAGGATCCCAAATGTATGATTGCACAGAGGAACCAGGTGATGGATTAGAGTAAGCGCGATTGGAGCTAATCAAAGAAGACTGGCTAATATACATTTCAAGTGGCATTAGCTTTGAGAGCAATGCCTTTTAGCATCTCGTTTACATTTCATGGGTACAAATTGAACTTAACAGTCAGCCCTGCAGATTCACATAAGGTGGTCTCATGATGAAGCTTTCAAAGCAGTACTTGATCCGCGGTTCAGAACGAAGATTGGATGAAGTAAGTTCATTCTGTGTTGCCTCACTAAACCGCACAGGGCTCCGAAGGACTCTGAGAAAATAGAAATTATATCATTCATAGCCGTGTTTTCCCACGGATCTTTTGCAGATGTACACAATTTGACAATGGATACACATTCTTCGATTAATTCTCACAAAACTGCGTATGCTTGAAGCTGAGTATGGCATTGTCACCAGGATAGGCGCAACGGCCTAGAATTTGACACTCATAGTTGCGGACCATCGGCCCAAAAGTCGAAAAAAGAGCGTCCGATTTCATTCGGTAATTCTCGGGACCGAATAAAATAGGTCAGAACATCTAGACCAATGGGGATTCGTCGTCGGATGTGCAGGATATCACTGATCAGACCTGAAACTAGGTAAATATGTATATCATCGAAGGATTTTGACTATGTTACACAATATTCTTATTCATCATTGAGTCAGTCACTGCATCAAATCTTATATGGACATATATCTGTTTAGTATGTAAGAGGTCTGTCTTTATACGTTATAGTGTCTTGTGATACAACCATTTTTCTTCTCAATAAGACCCTCCCAAATGTGGTACGACCAACGAGGTATAATACGGACGAGAATTGGAACGTCGAAGCTCCACTGACCGCTGTTGATCACCGGGATGTTGCTCCGGGTCGACAGTTGCCAGTCCATACAGGTGTCCTTGACCTTTTGGGGAATGATCAATCGCTGAGCTTCCTCCCGCTATACCAAAAACTGTGCTGATAAACCAGCCGAGGCGTGCCAAGCAATGTGGTGATGAAGCGGCCAGAATCCAGGGTTCTCATTCAAGTCGAACTGCATGGCAATATGCCCGCCAGCACCAACCCATTGAACGTCACGACGCTGCGGGCTCTTAGGGTTCGTGATCGTTTCATCCCATGTCATGCCGTGAGCCTCGTGGAGAATATATATGCTGAAGTCATGCAGATGCATGGGATGCTTAGTTTAGTGTTATTGCCTAGTATTGATCCATGTTGGTGGGAGCATTCAGACTTACACTGCAGGGCTATTATTGCTGACGATCACACGAATGCAGCCTTTCTTACCAAACAACGTTCAGGCCTCCACCAAAGGTTAGGTTTTGTTAGCTAGGAGAAGTGTCGACTTATCAAAATTACTGCGGAAGTCAACGCCATCAAGTGACCACTGATGATGCCAGACTCGTTGCCGAATACCTTAAGTTCTATGATCTTAGCGACAGCAGCCACAGCCAACTTCAACTTTATAATCGGCTTAGTACAGTACTAGGTGAAAGGTCTGGCTACAGCAATAAGGATAACCTAACAAAGAGTCCAAGAGGGGACCCATTAATAGTTCGAGGTCACTTCATAGTGCACCACCGAAGGCCTCGTGTCTCAACCACCTAATAGCTTGGATTAGCCATGCTTATTACTGCAGCCAACTTTTAACCTAGTACTGAAATAGCGAGATCATAGTTAACGCAGTTTCTGGGGCCAAGAATACCCCGTGCCGTGCTGGCAGGGGCCTTAGTCTGATCGGCCTGATCTCAGTAAATCGCTCCAAGTCCAAGAGACTGAATTGCGTTTCTACAGCTCGTGAGACTGCTTCACACACAGTAGGAGCCTTGGCCCTTGTTGTTGCCGGCGTTGGCTTGAACGAGAACGTCAGTCCTTTCTGAACGTCGCCAAGGGTGACAACTTTAATATCTTAAGACTCCACCTGATCAAAGTTATTTGCAATCATTGCAAAAGTGTGACCGTCAATCAAGAAGCGCTGAACGTCTTTCTGTACCTTTCTCCTTAAAAGACCTATCCTGGTACACTTCACATGGTCGTAACTAATCTTTCCTTCTATCTCTCCCCCGAAATCAGATACCGACTTCAAAATTTTGAAACTTTAGTTTTCTGAATTTCGCGCATCCTTCCTTTTCTCATATTGAATTGCTACGAAAAGGTTTCTCGTCAAAATCTCTAACGCGTACTACTCATCTAGGCGTGTAGCAACATCTTCGTCACTACTTCGTGCCTATTACAGCTTTTTGCTGGCTAGTGGTAAGCTACGTATTCTTCTTCAGGGATTGTAGAATCCACGATGGCACAAATTTATATGGAGAGAGAGCTAACATGTTTATCTTTCATGGTGATAGTCACCAAGAAGATGGCGTAGCTCGGTGTTTTCCCACACCTGCTGAGGTTGCTGTTTAACGGGCATCGCTCAGCGTGGCAGCCTCGCAAACACAACAACCCTCGTACTTCTCTCGACTTTAGAGAGTGCAAAAACACAAGTCCTTGTCAAATCACCTCTTTCGTCAAGGAACCACACGTGGAACTGTTTACACGACAAGAAACCGCGATTGGACTTTTGCGGCGGCCTGGGGTCTATTCTGGCTTCACCGTTACGAAGTTTCTACATCCATGGTACGCCATTATCCTGAAGAAAAATGCGGCCGTTGAGCACTTAGTTATGGGTCTCAGCAACCTTCCCAAAAAGAGTATCATCGAGGTTATGACCTCTTCTTGCTTGGGTGATATGACCGTCGATAATTCTCCACAATGGGACAAGCACTAGAAGCCGCTTGCTCACTCGGAGAAGACTGGGTGAGTGATCTCGACTCTCGAGGAGGCACGCAGACATTCTGGATTCCCGGGTAAGGAAGCAGCGCCCGTGTTCCGGTTAAATTTCCTGAAATATATGGACTGCTGATGCTGGAGTTTGGTACCAGTGTGGGAATCCGAACGCTTCTTCAAATTCCTTGATGATTCTTTATTCCTCGGAAGTATTCAGATGTTTCCTCAGACCGACGCACGGCGGGCAATTCACGGCTCATACAACACAGAGAGTAACACGGGTAAATCTGAACCTTTCAAACAAGGCACCGAAGACTCCATTGGTGTTCGTGAATCTCGTGGGTTGCAAGGCATCTTGGCAACGTTTTCTTTATCTCGATCTCTTCTCTCTCTTTCAGCTCCTGTCCAAGGGATGCTGGTCATAGATCCAACAACGTGATAGTGGCCGAGATCGAGGACTACATTAGTGCTTTGAGATCTTGTTACTCTCAAGAGCGGTCTGCCGACGAATGGCGTATCAGCGACTACTGTCCCTTTTCTTCTGGGCTTGTATCACTATGCGATTACGGAAGAAACACATCGAAGTTTTACGGAAGCACCTTTTCCCATTTCTCCGCGAAGTTGATAGCACTGCACACTACCAAGAAAACGCTTTCTTTTTATGCCTCCGCTTGGCCAGTACCACTTCGTCTGATCACCAAAAAAGACTGCGAGCACGCCTCTACGCAATGCGAGACATTGCAATCTCGCAAGGGTATTTCAGCTGCCCATTGTGGGCACAATCATTACGGGCACAGTTCAAGAGCGTCAAGTCCACGGAACAAAAAAGGGTGCCTCATCCATGGAGAAACTGAGAACTCAAGTCGTCAGAGTCTCGAATTTTTGTCGACCTACCTTGGTAGTTCACAGCACCTCCGCCGTTGGTTCGATATGAAAACCTTCGACCAGACTGCAATCCTCCAGAGTTCAGCGCATTTAACGCCACCGAACCCCTTCCCTGGACTTCAACCTCTTCTCTCCGATAAATGCGAGCCTATGCAGTCTGCTGAGCAGACGACCACCCAGAACACTACCAGCGTTGACATAGCCCTCGCCGCGACGGAGTACACGGAGGATTCAATCTCTTTCCTCCTAGATTCAGTTGATAATGCACAATCCCATTGCAATCGGGTCCTGACTTTCGATGACGCTATAGATCTTGCGTGGTTGAACGATCCAAACAGTGAGAAATTTCGAGGCGGCCTCCGTGTCGATGGCAATGACATAGCCGACGATGAAACACCTTTATCAGCTTCAGAATCCTGACGTTGTAGATTCTTCCATCGCAAAGAAATCGGAATTGCAGTTATGCGACTGGGACAGATTTCTCGTTGAATCTGAAGTCACGCCGAACAGCTTTGCAGTTTCTCATGAGCAAGAAGCGGACAGTCTAGAGGAGCAACTTCTTCTACGGGCCCAGACGTATCCATGCAGTATCCTCCTCTAGCCTCTCCATCATCATGATGACAACGGCAATAACGGGGATCTTGTCTCGGACTCAAAAGACGAGTGAAGCCGCAAGTTCCGAGTATGGATAGAACGTCTGGAAGCCCTTGCTTTGTATGACTTATTTACGAGAAGGCATTTTGTACGAAACCACTATTGGGTTTAACAACCTTCCGGAACTAATTTGTGAAGCCGAACTTAGGGTGGCTGTAACGAGTTGCATTGCCTGACTCTGGATAAAGACCGACATGGTTCCTTTTTTGGATCATGTCATTAAGCGCTCTCATCGATCTGTTGACGGGCGAATGTTATGATTGCAGTGCCATATGCGTGCTTTCATGTTTGGTAAAGGATGTTGTCCGTAGATGTTACATCCTTTTGGTTGCTGAGCACCTCTCGAGTGAGTCATATTGCTTCATTATGACCCATGACCCGATGTTTCCCTCGTCCTACGCCCGCCTTGATGAGAATGGTGCAATAGAATACCTCTTCAAACAGGGAGACCTTAAAGGTTTCTCTACTGTACCACATTTGGTAATTGGGTAGCGCTAAGCATTCACTTTTCCTTCCCATAAGGAGCCAAAAATGGTTCCACGGCTCTATGCTGTCAGTGAGACCTAAGTGGAATCACGTTGGAGGGTTGACAGCCTGCTCAACCCAGTCTAATTCTATTATCATTGCTAGCCTCTTTGAAGGTTTCCTCTTTTTCCTCATTCTCGACTTCATCAAGAGGCTTAATTTCTGGTTATCAAGTACATCTTCGAGTTCGACATCAACTAGACTTCCACGACCTCGAGTTCCTACAATTATTCCGAGACATAAAGTCGTTAACTCTATATACTCAAGAAGATAATCTCTCCTTTACTCAGTCTCGGCTGTTCTTCTCCTCTTTGCACTTTTCGTAGGATTGAGGGTACGCGCTAGAGGTTGGTAGTGCCACTGCCAAAACCTGAGAGAGAATAGTGGCCGAAGGACCTGCGTATTAATAGCAATGAGTCCGACTTGGCGCCCCCTCACTCATCATCGATTGATTGTAATAGTGTACGGCGCTGAGTCCATGGTAACAGCAACGCGAATGATGGCTACGGTAATAACGGAAATATCGGAGCATGTTAGCACCGCGATGAAATTTTTCATGGACAACGATACACGAAATTCTTTCAGAACTGGTAGGTATAAGAAGAGGATTGCGTTATCATTGACCACGTCTCAAAAACGGTCAGCAAGTGGACAACTTTAGACTTAGGGAATCGACCTTGTTGTCTTCTTATCCAAATGCTTCTGATTAGGCAACATATACTTTGTATCGAACGTTTTGGCTGATTTGCCAGCCCATATCTACCGGGACATGTAGGTTGGACTGAAAGTCATTTGAGTTGATAATTCCCATCACTGATAAGTGTCATTAAATTGAGCCTAGCCTGAAAGGGCCACAGTTTGGCAGACAGGGGTTGTCAGGCTGTATTTTCTATTTACGATGCAAATTGCGGCTCTTATGTAGATCGCTTCACAACGAATGCACCACGCTCAATAGTGTTGATCAGGATGTGGCCACTCTTGAAGTAGGGGTAGTGGCTCCAAGTACCGACAAAGTCGATAGATCCCCCGTTAGGCATCGTGTCATCCTCAGGGTAGATGTCGAAGAATCCAACCTCGGAAACCTTGCCTCCAGTGGGGTCTTCGGGCAGAGAAGAAACATCAAGAATACGAAGTCCGGCACCGTAATGGCTCTGGAAGGCAAAGCCGTCGACGACAAACTGGTTGTGGTCAATTCCGTAGGCTTCGCTGCGGTAGAAGCTGCAGAAAATGATGAGTTAGTGTCAAATCAAAAGGAGGACCAGACGGTGAAGAAAAGTCGACAGCGTACCCAGTTTGCTTGGGAGCCTCGAGGCTTTTGATGTCCCAGAAGTAGGTGATGGGGTAACCGGATGCAGCAGGCCCAGTGGCATCAACCTCATCGTACTCGTCATCGAGGACAAGGTACTCCTGCCACTCCGTGTTCGTAACCCAACCCTGGTGAGTATCTGCATTTGTAGTTGGTATTAAATTCGGACCGTTGCGCAAATGGCTTCCATGACTTACAGCTAGCACCCTCGTAGGAGGTACGGGAAATGATGTTGGTCTCGTTCTTGTTTGTAACATCGTAAATTGTTAAGGTGTCTTCGTTGTAGCCGTAGCAGATGTCACGACCGAAGTACTTCTCATCAGGGCCACGGTAAACCAGACACTGAGCATCATGGACGTACCCATCGCCGGCGGCACAGCCGGGGGAGGTAGGCTCGGAGGGGTCGCTGAGGTCGATAAAGATCAGGCCAGAGCGGCAGGCACTTGTGCGAGGCTGAGCGCCGACAGCAACAGCGTACTGCTTCTCCTCGTTGATGACAATGTTGTGGGTGGAACCCGCAGGCAAACCGTTCCACCAACCTGTTAAATCGCCTTGGTTGCTGAAAGTGACAGGGTTTGCGGGGTCAATATCCAACAACTATCATTACAAGTTAACATCACTCAAGCGGGAAAAAACGATTTATGACTCAACTGACCTTGGTCAGGTCAAAAATCTGAACGCCATGGCGAGAGGCCTCACTACCGACAACGATGTAGTTTTTGTACCCACGGAGCTCTCGCCAGATAGACTGGCTAGAGTACTGAGGAAGACGACCAAGATAGACAAGCTTGCCCTCAGATGTGATCTCGGCAAAGGCAGCTCCGTCAGCCTGAGCGATGATGGCAAACTCGCGACCATCGGGGCTGGTCCATCCCCAAGACGAGGATCCCTGGCCGGCTTTTGAGCCCAGGTCGGCGTGGCTCTTGAAGTCGTAGAAGTCGATCTTGTTGCACCTGAACGTGTTATTGGCGTCTCCTGGCACAACCTCCGCAACACCGTTGACACAAGAGACGGGGCCCTCCTCGGCGAGACGGCTTCTATAGACGGCAGAATCCATCTCTCCGTTCTCGATCTGGCGATCCCATGATGCCTGTGAACCGAAGTCAGCAAGGATGTTGTGGATTCCATATTAGACGGCTGCATACCTTCTTACGGGCCATTATGTCCTTGTGGATAACACCGCTGTCGTAGATCTCAGAGATGAGCTCACTAGGCGCCATCTCCTTGGCCGAGGCTCCGGAAAGAAGGGCCGAGACGGCCAGGGTTGCCAAGGTGGTAGCCTTCATCTTGTGTGGTTCGGTCGGGGATTCTAGGGGATTTTGAGGAATAGGAATTGATTGACGGGTGAACCACAATGAGATAACACAAAGAACAGGAGAGGTGAAGATTAAAAATGTCTATTCACTGCGCGCAACCAGATCTCTTATATCTCTTTACAGTCAGTTATGAGTAGGCGGTGGTATCCATAAGCTAACCCTTGGGCCTCGCTGTGTCCCCCACAGCTTTACACCTCAAAAGTATAATACTTTCCTTTCTTATTCTTCTTCTTGCTAGAAACAGAAGGTCGAAAAGAGACGAGTGGAAGGCCGGAGCCATGCTACGCAGTCAGTTCCCAACGTCACGATGCGGCGCACTACTACCCAAAGAAGCAGGTGTTTTTGGGACAAGGCCCGCTCTGTACTTGGGTAGGCGAATCACCGGCTCCAATGACCCAGCCCGGTAGTCCAACATGCTTCGACGCAAATTTACCTACATACCCGCCCGGGCTTGGCGACAAGCATAAGTGTACGGAAAGGCTCCCTAATCAAGAGGCTGCAATACGCTAAGCACATCGTATTGGGCAGCACCAATAGGTGTGCCAAGCGCGGCGGTGTAACACTCCGTCGTATCATCCGAGCATCGTCACTAGACGATGCCCAGTCACGTTGTCATTCTGAGCTTGTGTGCGAACTCACCTTCTCGAACGAATCGAATTGTGTAACATCGATAGATGGCGTCAAGAGATTACATTCGTGCAAGATACTGCAGCTGTTGAATCAACAAGCTGTTTTCCGCCCACCTGCATACTGATCAGCCAGACCCTTGCCAAAGTCATTCGTGGATTCAGCTGATTCCGCACCAATTCCATGTATGCTTGTAGAACCTTGGTGACCAAGCTTCTTGTTACGGAGACGTTCCGAACCAAGAGTCTTGGCCTATTAGAGATATCTTATCGTCACCATTGTAGTCCTCCGCGAGTCAAGAAACCACCGAACCAAATGCGCTTTCTTGTACAGTACAAGTCTCGTTTATGATTTACTATTCGTGACAAATACTGACTCGTGATACTTTTTACTTATTTCTTGGGTTAATTTGTTAATTCCGCTCCGATTTGTTTTCACCAAGACTAGTATTTTACAACCCCAGGTTATCTCGAAATGGCTACAATAAGTTCACAATATGGAGGTCAAAATGGAGGAAACATTGGGGACGGCAGACTAGTAGTCTTTGTAAAGTTACCCTGCCTGGACAATGACAGTAATGGCCATTGTGACAGGGCTGGCTGTTCGGACCCACCGCGACGAAAAAGCTGCCAGCGTGCCTGCTAAATAAGACCCGCCCATCTGGAGACCCGGAGGTGATCGAGTTCCTGATGCGGAAAACTTGCTCAACCTTAAGAAGACTTCATGTCAAGGTTGGAAAAATGGATGCTTTCGACCTCGCTATGCATTGGTCAGTTATTTGTGTACTGGATACCGTAGATATCCTCTAAAACTGTGGTTTTATGTAGTTGCGAAAATCTTAGACAGCCTACCAACAGTGACATCCAAGGGCTGTTCTAGACTAAGTGTTATATACCCAAAGATGACACAGCATGGATCTGATGTGATTTATAAATATTTTCATATTTGAAACTCCAATGAAGCTCTTCCTGTTTTTTCTATTTGTTGAGGTAATGCCCTCGCAACTACATGGAACTGGATTAGAGTACTTGGTGGCACATAGCTCTGCAGCATCCTACAGGTTCATTAGCTTTGGCTACGACTACTTCTCTTTCCTCAAACCTTCTATGCACTTCGTCTTTATTATATTTCATTCTAGATAATAGATTGTCTATGTTGTCTTTCTCTTGATCATTAGACATGACACCCGATCTTTTCTCAAGCTTCGATAAAGATGTGTATAGATGCAAGGTCAGATTCATATCGTCCTTTCATTGGAAATGTGGGTATATTTTACGCTATGTTCAGACTATAACGTGATTTGCATTAACGGGGGCCAGACTTCCCCAGTCTGGCTGTGGATGCATCGTGAGCTCAAGCCGAGGAGCGCCGCTGTCTTCTGGTATTGTCGGTAAATCACACACGGGTACTGCTCGTTCCCACACAGCTTCCCAGGAATTTCTCGCCTCAATTTCGTGGTGTTGCCACCGTGGTATCCTCTCTCTTTCAGATCCTTTTGTGGAGCTTTCAGCCTCTGCCACTAGCCATCCCTCTCTTCGACCGTCAATCGAGTTTGCTCTGGAGTTAAAGACACAATTTCCGACACATTGCACCGTCTCTGTTTCCAAGTCTTCCTCCGGGTTGATTGCTTTCATTTTTGGGCCACTGAGAGCTGCCGGCTCGGTGTCAAAATTCGTTTCGAGTTGTGGGCTGTTGGCGCCCACCGTTATAGGAGCCTCGGTAAGAGCAGATCTTGTTTGCTTCCCGGTCACCAGACTCCATAGATAAGATATACTCTGTGGATTTTGCTTCTTGTGCTTGGCCTCACGTACAGTCCTGGGCCTATTACCCGTAGGTTTCGGTCCGCTTTTTCGTATGCGTTCATAAAGGATGTTTATCGATGGCAAACATGCGCAAATCAAACCAATCACAAGTTCCAGTGCTCTAAGCTGATTGTTAACCCACAGGTAGCTTATACTCTGCGTGAAACAACAAACTTACGTTATGATGTCCAAGACGACAAAATCGGCAGTCACATCTTTGGACCCGAGGAATTGGACAACGAGGTACATGCGATAGATAGTAACGGCTGTGGCAATGCCGCCTGCACCGAGAAGCGTCAGGATCTTAACCTTCTTCCGCAAAGGCAAGCGCAGACCCCAAAGAAGCGGTATCGGAAGTACAACAATTATGACATCGGTGAGGATCGCGAGGCTCAAGTCGGCGATGAAGAGTTTCCGCTGATTGAGGCACTTCGGTTTCGGTACGCGAGGATCCCAGAATGCAGATATGGGCCAGCAAATGACCGTTTTCAATGTCTGTATGGGGACGTAGCTTATGAACAAGCCGATGATGAAGATCCGAATCCCGCGGGAGGTTCGCTCGTGGATCGCGAAGACTCGAGCCTCGAAGAGCAAAAGCGTGACCTTCGTGAAATATGCTGCCGGTATATAAATGATGGAACTCGCATATAGCCACTATCCGATGCTGCGTTAGCCAATTTTCATCGAGAACTTTGTGTGCAGAATACACACCCGCATCACCTCCTGATATGCCTCTTTCGTGATCTCCCAGGCATGGTACCCCTCGCCGTGATGCGCCATCACAAATACAATCGCAACGTAGAGTATAATGAGAATCTAGCAGTGTTAGTTTGTTACATACCATCCGCAAAGCCGGGCTTTTGAAAGACACTTACGTATGACATAGCACAAGTCCCTGTACCAAGTGTCAGCTTGACGTCGGTTATAATAGATGGCTTCTCTGTTGGGAATACGTACAGTCTTCTGGTAGAAGTGAGCCTGTCTGGAACAATTTCACATATGCTCTGATAGCAAAGAAAATTGTCGTGACTCCCATCATAATACTCATTGCGACGACGTTCAGCAACCACCCAGCATCTCGAGGATTCTCGAAATTGGGAATGACGCCCGGCGGGGGAGGAAACGCCCCAACCGGGCTTGTGGCATTGCTCATTGCTTCTCGGATCGCCCCGTACAAGCTATTATGAGCCGTATGACGAGACTCATCGCTTCACAGCCCAGCTTAATATGGCATAGTAAGCCGTGTTTTGAAGCTCCAAGTCGCGTTCCAACAATGATCCAAGCGTAAATGAGAGTCCCAAGCTGCTGATAAAACTTTAAGGATTCATGACGAAAGAGGCATCCTTCTCCAGCCCTGACTCGCCCGATCGGATCAGTTCAAAATAGAGTTTGTCGGGTCATCGGGTATTGGTGATATCAAAGCGTAAGCCGTTCTTGGCAAACTGTAAGGAATGATCTGCAGGAGGCAAAGCTCCCGCAAACTCAGGGCCTATGGTGGCTAGATGTGAGTCGCTGAAGAAGACCGAATATTGGTTGGGAGGAAATTCCGCGAAGGTCCTACTAGGAAAAAGCGCTGCACTAATACTAACAAGAAGATATGCGCATAAAGCAGTGGCTCAGAGGCGCTTCCTTCTTGGGTCTGATTAGGGTGACGCTCTGAGCTGCTACTAGATCACCGCGTCCTCACTCGGAGAAGGGGTTAAAAGAGTGGCTCGTGTGAGAATTATGCTTGAGCCAACTTGCGTGCAAACGATTTTGACAGAAAGATATCACGAACGCGAAAGGGAGTAATAATTTGAGGTAGCGCTCCCGTCGCCTATGTGCTTTTATTTGACTCGAGGCCAAAGCGTTCTAGAAGACACCCATATCCCTCATTCCACTCCTTTTGGCTGGTGCGATGGTCTTCGAAATAAGTAAGCTTTCGGCCATCATGTTCAACTGCTTTGGTGTCTGGTCGTTCCATTACGCTATCTACCATCGCTCGCCATATCATACCCATAACCACTTTTACCTTTTTTTGCTGTGGCTCATATGATGTGTGGCTTGCGGCGATTGTCCAACTCCTACACACGTACCATTTGTGCTCCCTCGCCGCGGCCGCCTTATTGCTTTGAGCGTCCGAGTCGACTTTTGGGGTCTCTCAATTTGCAGCAGCCAAGTAAATAGCGGAAATGCCAAAGAAGAAGAAAAAATAAAGAGACACCAGGCTAGCGCTTAACAGGTGGGTGAGCCTCGATTGACTTTCGTGTTAACCACCAACCAAATCGGAGTTTTCGTGGCCGGGGGAAGTCAGAGTGCATTTCGGTTATCATCAACAAAAAGACTTCATCGTTTGAATTCGGGTGATGCAAAGTTACGAGAGTAGGACCGTGCATTTCATAGGTAGTTGAAAGCTACTAGGACCCCGGTTCCAGGGAAGTGGAACGTGACTATATTCGTTTATTAGCAATTGTTTCGTCATTTTCAGGGTCAAGGAATCCAAAATACAGGACTTTTTTTGTTAAACAACACGATAAATTCGACTGGAAACGAGCACTTTGTTGGGTAATTGTTAAAGAAAAACTATTAGAACTACTTTACCCCCCCCCCCTCCAGATGATGCAGAACAATTCTAACGTTCTCTCCGGGTGTAACGTTTTCCTTGACAGGCTGTCACCTTGTTGAGGACCGAACTTTCTCTGCAGGTTATAACCAATCGGAACCACATTTTGACACCCTGGGAAACGTTCGGCGAAAGTGAAGCCAATCTGGGCGCTACGTTATACTGGTGGCGAAAGTCAACGAATGTTGTTGTGGGTGCATGGTTGAACATGAACACGTATGCATAGTAAGTGCGACTTCATAGATGAGAGGACTGTTAAATTTGAGACTTGTTAGGTAGCAGTTTACTAAACACGATATTCTCTTAACATAGGACGTGCTTTCATAGGCCGTAAATAGCACATTTTGAAAAAAGTATCCGAGCATCTATCATCTGGCTCGTGAAGGTGGTGTCCAACGTGGGGGAACCATATCCAAACACAAGCTGGAATAGCTAGGTAATAATGTGTGTTGCTGATTGGCGACCTTGGTTTCGTTGGTCCTGCATAGTACGCGGTCTATTTATCTGCGTCAGAGCTAGACTGGCAAAAGTGGAAATTTGTGAAACAGAATACTTATTACTGCCCTGCTAAGTTACGATAGTCTACAGTCGAAAGCTGGGACGTATGCTATTTAGTTTGAGGTGATGGCTGAAAGGACGTGTATCATAATATATAAATTATGTTTTAGTCGCAAGTTAAGAGTCTTAAGAGCCTAAACATACTTCGCAGTGTGCTGACTTAATACGTGTAACTCCTATGTTATACTGAATCTTCTAGTCAATGCTGCCTTCAAACGTGGAAGGGGGCGTTGAGGCAGAGAGTTTCTAGTCTGGAACTATGAGTTGATCGTTGAAGATTCTACAGTTTTATGACCTCACCGCCATTAAGCAAAGTTTACTGCATCACCACTTAGCTACCGCTGTTTGCTAGTATTATTGCTACCCAAAGACATGTGGTTTGTACTATAGACGCTGAGAAAAACTCCTGCTAAAGAATAAAAGCGATCGGAATCATTCATTCCACATTCGACAAGGTACAACCCAGCACCACGCACTAAACAAAGACATACAGATACGGTAACTCTCGAGTTGCATGCTTTGAAGTTGCTATCCCTGGACATAGTTTGTTAGCTAATAAGAATTGAGGCCGAAGGAATTCCCTAGAGGTAGGGAAAACTTTAAACCTAATTCTCATGAAGTTAAAAGAAAAACATTCATGTTCATCATCCTCTGTCAATTCAGCAGAAAGGGTGCTGTAAGTTGTATATAGTGCAATGTTGACCATCGCAGATAATTATCAGAGTTATTAGATTAACCCCAATGACTCATTGCAAGCAAACCCTCGGCTAATTAGGCCAAGGTTCCGCCAAGGATTTGCGGCAATAAGTTAGTTATTTAACCAACCAACCCACGATAGTTATCCTTCTTCTTCACGCAAAATAGAGATCAACAGTTACCCCTAATTTTTTTAATTGCCACCGATACGTACGGTTAACCGTATCACCATATCCTTGGTGCATCCAACAGCATAGCTGTACAAACATCAATATCTCATGTGTACATCTGCAGGGATTAGTGTATTATATATATATAGATATTTACACAAAGAAATTTATAGTTGAAACGGTGATGTTTAGTGGTTACTGTTCATCTTGTTGAATTTAAAGGTTTAACTTATATAGAAATTAATGTTTAGCAGGCTTTTATTTGGATTCTAAGTATAATATGGATCTATCTATCTCCTAGTAATTAAAGAATTTTAGTTTCAACGTCCGCTTTCTAACCATCAAGTGGAAAGTGTTATGATACATTGCTGTTGGTCTCGGTCTTATTTTTCTAGATGCGTCGAGAAGGCTTCGCCTAAATGATAATGTAGTAAAGAGCGTACACAAGATAAGACACATATGCTGATAACAGATACGGAATCACTTTTCTTTTTACTTCTACAACTTTCAATGTTATCAATCTTTCTATGGATAGCCTTAGTTTTGGTGTCTTTAGGTAAGACTAGGCTAGAGATAACCGTATTCTCTATTAGATAGTTTAGCTGCATTAGAGAGCACAATGAGCCATGTCGTTGTTGAAGATCTGAATAGAACCTGAGAATAGTAAAGAGGCTTATGGGTTGTTATTATTTTACAATAAGGGTATTGCTACTGCGGTAATGAACTTTACCCTATGGGCTTACAATAACCGGCATATATTAACTTAGTGCTCTTTAAGCAGTGAGCTCGATATTCAATATCAGTAGTTGGGCGCTCTTACTAGTCGAAGGGGAATCTAGTTACACGTATTCGCCGAGTTAGTCTGTGAAAACCTAAATCGTCACATTAATACTAAGACAGACGTGTGCTTACAACAATTAGTCTCGTTAATACTAACTAGAGCTTGAGAGCATAAATCCGAACTTTTCCATCTTATGGTTGCTGTCAACGTTCAGACTTTTCCAAGAACGACAACTTTCGGTGACCTTACCAATATCATACTACTATCCTACTAAAAGTTATGAAATATGTTAAAGATAATAATTCTGATTGACTGCGCTAGCAAGACATTGAAACGTACTTAAAGCGGTAGATTAGCGAAGCCCGGGCTTCAGGCAGTGCATAAATCCTGCTGGTGGCAAAGAATATGCCCTATCCTTACCAGCCCAGCACGGCGACTTACGGGAATATCTCTACGAATGGGCTCAGTGTACAAGGAGTAGGAAGATGTCCGGAAGCCGTCAAGACCGGGCACATATGATTGTGGTCCTGGACAATATAATATGTGACTGTGACGGTCGATAGTTCGTTCCGATGCTGGTAATTGAATAGGTTTCCTTAGAGAGTAGTCATTTCCAGCGATGAGGTGGCAAACCAAGCGAGAGCGATATCAAGGCTGAGGAGTACAAATAGACGCATGATTGGAGAGATGAAGTGATTGCCACTATGTATCAGGCTTGGTATTATACATAGAGCCTGAGGTAAATTCGGAGTGACTCCAGCAGTGACGAGTATACTTATGATGGAAGAGATATCTTTTTTCCCCCCCATAGGAGCGGTTCACCCACGTGGTGTGCCGTAAATGCGCACTCAATACTCTGTCCACCACACTCAACAATGGATTCGAGCAAGCATAGCTTACACGGTGGGCAGAGATTCGGTTAATCTCGTTCGCTTTGCCGACATCAGTAATTTTACCTGATTCACCGACACCTTCCCAGCTATTGTATACTCTATATAATTTGACCTCCATAGTTCTAACTTGGTGATGGCTGGTTGTGTTAAAGGTGGATCCGAACCGCGTCACAACAATCACGGACTTAACGGAATTACGGAATTATGTCATCACAATTCGGCTCAACGGCCAAGGCCATTTTCATCACATTCTTCTCCCGTCATCATTCGGAACCCCTTCCATAACCGATAACCCACTGAAATTCCTCTCGGACTTGAGGAATTATCTTCACTTCCGTGCCTGCACTGCTGTGCCTCTGATCTTGGCCTTGGTCGCATTAGCGGGTCTCACGTCTCGGGGTTAATGCTGGAATGCAGTCCAACGGCAGCAAGTTCGGCGGCAAGATTCCCAAAGCCTGCGAGCCATGCCGCCGTCGCAAAGTGAAGTGCTCTGGGCACAAACCCTGTCGCCAATGCGAGAACAAGCCATCAGACTGCGTCTATCGGCTAAAACCGCGCGTGCGGTTGTCGACAAAGCGAGCCGCTGCGGCGGCTATCAATGCCGAGACAACCCATGGCGCGTCGACGCCGGGTTCTGAGCACAGTCGCCCAGACGAAGTCGGCTCTCATCGATCAGTAGAGGAACACCAACAGCAAGTCGCGCAGACGGAAGTCTACCACAGCGTTGCCGCCGCCCATCATGCTCCAAAATCTACCGATAGCACACAGCTCTTCTACGGACCTTCGTCAAACTCCGCCTTTCTGCAGCAGATTCATCGGGGTCTTCTGTCCGGACAATATGGTCAAAGCCTCGCCCGAGATGTTCAAGAGGGAGGGCCGGGGTTAGATATGTTTATGCAACGCAACATATTTTTCGGCATGCCGTTGAAGATTAACGTTGAGCCGGTGCAGCCTACAGCGTGTCCGATCTCACCAGCACAGGCAGAAGAGTTCGTTGCACACTTCAAGCACACTCATCTCTCAACTTTACCCTTCTTCACCCCTTGCGAGATGGATGAAATGATTCCAGCTTTGTTCTCCAATGTTGCAGAGTCAGTCATCCAACCGCAAAAGAAAACTGTACTTTTTGCGGCTCTCGCATTAGGAGCCCTGGGCACCGCGCAAACAGACGCAGCAGAATTACTATTCGTCCACGCCAAGAAGGAAGCCGTCATCTACGAGGATTCTGTCACACTGCCAATGATACAATTCTCAATACTCACGGCGTATTATCAGCTGAACATGGGACGGCCGAACTCTGCATATCTACACAACGGCGTTGCATGTCGGAAAGCCCTGGCCATGGGTTTGCACGCAGGGACTACAAGCGCCATCTCCCGGAAAGAGGAAGTTCAGGGAAGGCTTGTGACCCTTTGGTGTCTTTACTTCCTTGAGATGTAAGCTACCACATCTGATATATCACTCCATCTCTCTTTGCTAGCATAGGCTGACACAAGAACGTACCAGTTGGCTTAGCTTGGTGGTTGGACGACGAAGTATGATACAAAAGTCGGATTTTGACAGCTGTCCGTATCCAGACGGCCAGCCCACCATGATAGCTCTTTGCCAGTTTGCTAGCGTTATCGAAGAAACCGTTGAATCGATATATAATCGGAGGACTGACTCACTCCGTCAGCTCTATGGGAAAGCAGAGAGATTGCATGGTCAACTCCGCCAATACGGTGACGAGTGGGGACTAGGCTCCGCGGCGTCTTTCCAGCGGAAGGATGCGTGGAACGCCGAAACCAGTCTGCTTTTGCATAACAGTAAGTACATCTGGAACCAAGGCCAGTCTTTGGGCCACGTCAGATGTTAATGTGCTCCAGTTTATTTCCATGTTGTTCTCCTGATATATCGGCCGTTCTTGATTGCAGAAGCTGCACTCTTGTCCGGTGAGGGATCAAGCGGAATGGGAGACATCTGGCTTAGACAGGCCTGTCGACATGCCACAGATGCTGCACAGGATGCTCTCGCTTTTACAAGCAACATGCTTCGGGGCCCAGAAGAGTGCAAGGTAGGATTCCCCACTCTGATCGATACTGCAGTGTAACTAATGCTAGCCAGCAGACACGTCGGTACCTTGCATTCTTCATCGAGTCTTCCTGCGCAGTTCTTTTGTATGATAGTCTGCGCCATCCAGCAAAGCACCCTCACAACCTCGAATTCATCCAGATGGCCATCTCTTGCCTGCACTCTCTTATCGGAGACGAGCCGGTCACCAACGCCATCAACTCCATCAAGCGTATCGTATGGGCAGTCGAGCAGTCCATCAATGCGTCAAAATCAACTGGCGCCTTTCCAGATGTCACAGCCGCCGAGTCTTCGCCAGTGTGGTCCGACAGCCGCTTTCCGACCAACATCCAGTTTCCGTCGCTCGAGGAGAACAGGACCACCACCACAACCTCCGACGACCTCATTTTCTTTAGCAATAGGGGGTATCGTCAGCCTGAAGCCCTGACGGATTATGCCATACCCATGACCGGCACGGGCCCGGTATTAAATCCGTTTTCCGATTTGAATTTCGACGTCCTAACGACGGATTTATTCAACTTCTTTCCTGTTGATACAAACGCTGGCCCATGTGCGCATAAATGACGAAATCTATATAGATATATCACACCAACTAAGAGCAATCAAGCTCATTCTCATCCGTCGTGGATTCGCCGAGTGCAATTGGATTTGCAACCCTGTCCCCATCAACGTCGCGAGGTCTAGTTTCGATATTATGATTATGGTCGAGAACAAGGCAATCAACCAATCAGCAGCTAAGCCAGCGGCCCGTCCGGGTGTCCCTGATGTGGAGTCGCAATTGTGAACACATCAAAATCCGGGGGAACGCACGTTGTCCCGGGGTCTCGACATTCCCTCGGGAATCCTTCAGACGGCGTCATACTCATCCGACAGTGACCATCATTACATCCCTCGTGGCTGAGTTCGCCCCGGCTCAACGGGCAACCGCCCTTTTCTTTTTTAAGCACGTATCTATCGACCTATCGAGACACACGGAGATCGTATGATAGCCCTTCTTGCGTATAACTGTCGCAGATAGTGACATGCCGCCACGGATGCGACCGCGCTGCCCGGGACCATGCGGCATAGGGAGCCGACAGAGAAACGCGTCAGAAACTTCTCTCCCGAAGACCGAGCGAGGCATCGCATCCTCGAGAGAGGCCGCCGTGAAGCTTGCTAGGAGAGCTTGGTAGTACGAAAATGTTGCGTTTCCGTACTTGGCTCAAACGGTAGTATGCTGACGATCCAACTCTTCAGGAACTCGCTCGTCGTCTTCCAATTAGTGCAGGCACTGACCCCAAGCATCTTCCAAAGCATGTCGTAGATGAGAGCATAGCTTGTTGTGAGCTGCTGGAGAGTTGATGCGTCGACACTCTACGTGACATTTGGTCCTAGAACGCGATGAGTTGCTAGCTGGGGTCAGCACATGGAGGCGGGTCGCCGGTACCAGTTCATGACAGCCACAGTTTGCTTCTAGTCTTGATGGTCTGGTTCAAGCTGAGAAGCGGTCTCAGCAACGTGCGTTACCTGTTCGTCTGGGTGAGACCAGAAGGCATTCGTCTCAAAAGGGACCTTCTGACTATCGCAACTATGCCACGACAACACCAGATAAGATCAACGTGAAGAATTATCGTGTTCCCCTGGTATTGCCCGCGAAGCCGACTCATGATCTGCACGTCCCTTCGGGTTTGGTCAGTCTCCTCCTGGACACATCCTGGTCTGGCACCACTCAGGTACCGCCAGCAGCATTTCCCATCGAACCTCATATGGGAATATCAGTCCAAGCCAAATCAGATGCGGTACCATATTTTCTACCAATACCTGCATCCAACACGGACGGCTGTTGGACCTATGCGGACATCGGTCTGCATCGCCAAATGCCGCGTCCGAATATGGGCTCGATAGACTTTGCTCTTCCTGATACCGGGCCGTCTGCCGCAGTCGTACCAAATTCACCTAGCTATCTATTTGGAACAAATCTGAGCCCAGGTGCACCGCTTCAGCAACCTCAGAAACGGGCGTCTTGGCCTGTTCGTCGAGGACGGTGTGCGATATGGTAGCCGAGTGACAACCCATCTCCCTAGCTGCAGTGGTCTCGTTGACAGAGATGAAACTGGGGGTGTTTACTTAGTAGTGGCTCCCGGGGGGGGCCTTCACATCTGTCATGGACATAGCTGAAGTTGTTCACGAAAGGCTTCTCCTTTCCTGGTTCCTTGTACAGCCGCTTGTACGACTCAATGGTTTGGACAATTGCTGCCAACGTTGATATGAAGGATGCTACGTAGCGCCAGAGCCCTCTGCGTTGGGCCACTAGGCGCGCGGCTCATCATGAGCTCGCATGTTTTCTTTTTAATCAGCGTGTGACCTTAGGAAAGTCGGGAGTTGATCCCACAGTGGCGGTACGGGCTGATACAACACATAATAATACCAGCTTGGCTAAACGCAATCGCTCGGGGAAGACTGCGCGTCGAATCGACCGAGCAATTAGTGATATCAACAGTATTGAGCAGTCGTTATGAAGTCATTGTGGCCAGTGTGCAAGCCGTACCTTTCGGTGCCATGAGGTCAAAGCAATGCGTCAGCAGCTGGTCGCGTCTGTCAAATCACCCCGCCCAGCTGTCCAAGCCAACATCCCCCACCACTCGGCAGAAGGCGGCACCGACAGAAGCCGAGAACGGCAAACAGCGTCAACGAAACCCAAACCGTGGCGACAAGCTTCCCGTCGCACAATCAATCCCCCCTCTGTCTCAATCTGCGAGCTGTCCTCGGCGTCTCCTCCAACTCCTCCAAAGTGCCTCTGCTTCTCTCGAACCGACAGTTCGCCAAAGAGTACTCTTTCCCCCACCGAAACACACCAACGCATACGAACCGACCGAGCCGGCTCCCCTCCTCCCCCTCCGCCACGATGGAAGACGTCCCGCTCGAGCACGGCTCGCCGGCGCACCTTCTCCCACCGAGCTGGAAGACCCAGGTCACGGCCTGGCTGGCCGAGGACACGCCCACGTTCGACTACGGCGGCTTCGTCGTCGGCAACGACGCGCGCACAGCGACGCTCTGGGGCAAGTCGGGCGGCATCATCGCGGGCCGGCCGTTCGTCGACGAGGTCTTTGCGCAGTGCGGCTGCGCCGTCGAGTGGCACGTCAAGGAGGGCTCGCACGTCGAGCTGCGCGGCCACGGCGCCTCTCCCAAGGGCAAGATGCGCGTCGCGACCGTCACCGGCCCCGCGCGCGGGATCCTGCTGGGCGAGCGGGTGGCGCTCAACACCCTGGCGCGGTGCTCTGGCGTGGCGAGCATGACGCGGGGCATGCTGGTGAACCTCCGCGCCGCCGGCTACGCCGGCGTCCTCGCCGGCACGCGCAAGACGACGCCCGGGTTCCGCCTGGTGGAGAAGTACGGCATGCTCGTCGGCGGCGCCGACGCCCACAGGATGGACCTGAGCTCCATGATCATGCTCAAGGACAACCACGTCTGGAGCAAGGGGAGCATCACCAACGCCGTCAAGGCGGCCAAGAGCGTCGGCGGCTTCAGCCTCAAGGTCGAGGTCGAGGTGCAGACCGAGGACGAGGCGGACGAGGCCATCGCCGCCGGCGCCGACGTCGTCATGCTGGACAACTTCACCGGCGAGGGCGTCAAGGTCGCCGCCAAGAGCCTCAAGACTAAGTGGGCGGGCAAGAAGCACTTCCTGGTCGAGGTCTCGGGCGGGCTGACGCTGGAAAATGTGGAGGACTACGTATGCAATGGTGAGTCTCCCTGGGGTTCGGTTTGGCCGAGCTGCGTCGGGTTCGGGCCGCTGACAGGAGAACAGATGTGGACATTCTTTCAACGAGCGCCATCCACCAGGGCGTGCCGCACGTCGATTTCTCGCTCAAGGTCGAGCACTAGCCTAGCGGTTGTAATCGATTTGTGAAGCCAACTTCCCGTCCTTCGTGATTTCAATGAGACAGGCACGCACCCCCTGACTTTTGTCTCTGTGGCATGCTCATTGGGCAGAAAACCAAGTGTCTTTCCTCTGCTATCATGGTACCCAAGCCAAGCCAATGACCCAATGACCCGAGGTGCATGTTCGCAAAGACCCTGACATTTTGACTCCTCCTCTCATTTTCTCTCTGCCCCCCCCCCCCTCTCTCAGTAGTAACGGCAAAACATGAGGGCCATTGTTCAACTATATGTCTTCCCGTTCTGACTCCCATGTCTGACGTTCACTGCGACATGAATATTACAATTGCGGAGTAGTCTATACGGATACTACTCAGCTATAGTACCATTCTTTAGCCAAATACTACAGAGGCCATGCCGCGGCTTCCATGAAAAGCCCACGATACCTTCCAACTAGGGTAGCTTCAAGTCGCCCTCAAAGATGGTTCACCTCCAACTCTGACCGTCCGTCCTGCGTCTCATCCCACGCCACCCTCACTCTATGACTTCTCGTCCGCCTGGAGCAGCTCCTTGGCCATGTCCCTCAGCTTGAACTTCATAATCTTCCCGCTCGGCGTCTTGGGGTACTCGTCCACCCAGAAGACATGCTTCGGCACCATGTGGCTCGACAGGTGCTCCCGCACCCACCGCCTCACGCCCTCCTTCGTGATCCCCTCCTTCTCCCCCGCGGACCCCTCGCCGTCCACGACCCAGCCTTTCTGAGGAACCACGAAGGCGGCCACGCTCTCCCCGAGCTTCTCGTCCGGCACGCCCACCACGGCAGCCTCCTTCACCCCGTCCATCTGGAAGAGGCAGTTCTCTACCTCGAGCGGGTGGATGTTCTCGCCCGCGCGGATGATGAGGTCCTTGATCCGTCCCGTGATCTGGACGTACCCCTCGTCATCCATGAGCGCCTCATCGCCCGAGTACATCCACACCCGCCCGTCCGACTCCTCCCGCCGGACCTCCCGGGTCTTCTCCTCGTCGCCCCAGTACCCCTTCATCACGAGGTACCCCGCCGCCGCCAGCTCCCCGCGCTCCCCGCGCGGCACGATCCGCCCCCTGTCTAGCGGGTCGACGATCTTGACGGCCGTGTGCGGCATCGCGCGCCCGACGCTCCCCGTCCGCTTCCCGAACGCGTCGTTGGGAGCCGTCATGCAGCTCACGGGGCTCGTCTCTGTCATGCCGTAGCAGATTACCAGGTCCCGCAGGCCCAGCGTCTCGTACAGCCTCCGCATGAGGCTCTCCGGCACAGAGCTCCCCGCGGCGATGCCTTTCGTTAGCCCCCGTGGCATGTCCTCAGGCCTTGCCGCACTCCCCGCCGCCAGCGCTTCCATCACCGCCACGAACATGGTCGCCACGCCGTACAGCCCCGTGGCGTCGTAGTCGGCGACCATCTTCACCGTCGCCGCCGGGTCGAACGCTGGGCTCGGGAACAGGATCGCCGCCCCCGAGGTCGCCGTCGCCATGTACCCCAGCACGCACCCAAAGCAGTGGAACAGCGGCGGCGGCACGACGATCCTGTCCCGCGGCACGAGCCCCATCCTCTGCGCGATCAGGTGGCCGTTGTTCAGGATGCCGGTGTGCGTCAGCATCGCCGCCTTGGGGTGGGACGTCGTTCCCGAAGTGAACTGGATGTTAATCGTCTCCCCGGGGTCCAGCGGCGCGTCCGGCACGATGGGCCCGTCGAACCCGTCCAGCAGTACCTCGTACGGCGTCAGCGCCCTGAATGCGGGAAAGTCCACCAGCGGGTGCGAGGCCGCGTTGTCCAGCACGATAACGGTTTTCAAGCTCGGCACCTGCTCACTCTCGACCTTGCCCTTGTCCAGGTCTGGCACTAGCGTCCGCAAAAGGTCGAGGTTGCTCCGTCCACGGCACGGCTTGTACGGCAGGTCCGTGACCTTTCCGATCACGAGCACTTCGACGCTCAGGTGCCGAAGCGCCGCGCCAACCTGTTTCGCGTTGAACCCCGGGTTCAGCGGGACCAGCACGGCGCCGAGCTTGAAGGCGGCGTAGGTTAGGGCGGCGAACTCGGCGCCGTTGCCAAGGGAGACGGCGAGGCGGTCACCCTTGCGGATGCCGAGAGTGCGGAGAGACGAGGCGAGGGTGTTGGAGAGGGCGTCGAGGGAGGCGTATGTCAGCACAGTGGTCGAGGCGGGCGGCAGCGGGGTTGACGTGGAGGCTGGCGATGAGGTGAGGGCGGTGGAGGCGCGCGCGATGACGGCAGGGAGGTCACCATGAAGGGATACAACTTGAGAAAAGTGTTCGGGGATGGTTTGTGTGAGAAGCGGTGGCTGGAGAGTGTCAGCGTGTCCTGGCCCGTGCCGTCTCTGTGAGACAGAGTGGAATCATGCCGCCTGTGAGAACTCCCATGGCAAAATCTACAGAGCTCTCACTTGAGTCTGGCTTCATGTTCTCTCACAAACTCATCACCAGCAGAGAAGTAACATACCTCACTTGGGCCCTGGCTAAAACTAAGCCCTTGGTAGCTGGAAGCGAGCGTTCTCCGCTGTGATGCCGTACTAGTACCTCTCCAGCACGTTGCCTTGAGCAAACTCCTCCACGCCACGAGGCCAGTCGCCAGGCGTTTGCAGACCATTGAAGGCATCGTCGTTCACCGGTGCTCAACCTCGGCTTTGGGCGTGGAGATTTGCAATGTGAACCAGGCTGGTAACGTGGAACTTGAGATTCGATGTGGGCGTGTGGCTTTTAGTCTCTATGACGTTATCATGTCGAGCCTCTCGATATATCAACTTCAGCTTGGGGATTCTTCGCACAATGAGCCGTCACAATCCCCGATCTTCCTCACCTGTTAGACAAGAGGGGGCGGGTAACTTTGGCCCTCAAAGCACCGACCGGTATTCCCGGGCAGCGGCCGCGTCTGGTCGCTTCCCCCCCGAACCTGGTTGGGGTTACATGTCTTGGCAGAAGGAGGGGAAAGGGAGCTCCCCTCCCACACCTACCCCCCTAACCTTACAGCAGCCAAGGTGCCAAAATGCGGAGAACCCATGCGGGGTCACACCTACCGCCAAACAGGGAGTTCCCCTTAAAAAGGGGCGGCGGGTAAGAAACGCTGGGGAAGTGTGACGCGCGGCGATACACTCGTCCAGGTTTCGAAGACATGGGACGCATTCGCATTCTAGGTATCATGTCAAAGCTCTATACCCAGGTCGGGAAAGGTCGGGAACGGTGCAAGCGCAACGCAATGCTTGTTTAAAGCCCAAGGTTCTGTTGGAAATCATCTTGACTCGCACGGGCCGAATCAACTACAACGCCGAGGTACTGCCAACTCGTGTCCCGAATTTTGCCAACTATGAACTTTCAGAATCGCTTCATTGCTTCTAAACTGCTTTGGGGTATATGTATCACCATGCTGGCGGCAACTGCAGTTGATAAGTATTCCACCTCTCGCGTCACCTAGACTCCAAGCTCCTTCTAGACCATAACGTGGCCCGTTCACTCAATTCCAATCCTCTTTCCGTGAGGGGCTCTCCTGGTCTTCTTTACCTGAATGCCAAAAACAAATTTGAAATAGAGAAATGTAACGAGACTCTATGTGCCGAAAAGCTCCATGCTCTTCCTGTTTCTCTAGGGTATGTATGCAGTTTGTATGTGATTCGTCCCATTCCCGCCAAATAAAGACGACTCGGCGAGTCGAAACGGGGTTTCTGAAACATGCCCAATCGGTGGCATGTAGTTGACGCCGTTCGAGATGCAAATATTCTAAAAAAAGACACGTGCCGAATGAGGTTGTATCGTCACTGTCGTACGTACGTCGGTGAGGCGTCTATGACTCCTCGGTCTGCTCGCCAATATGGCGGAGCTCTTCGGGCTTCCAGGTACCTGGCAGTCGTTAGTCAAAGTTACAGACAGTCGCCTAGGTTTCTCAAAGCTCACCCTCAAAGTCGTGTTTAACAAAGGCCATAGGATCGTCGTAGTCCTTGGCACCCATTTGTTGGACTCCAGGGCTGAAGCTGGTGATAGGAAGCACCACAACGTCCCCCACTTTCTTGGACGTCTCCATACCCGTAAAGTTCTTCCAATCTATGGGGCCCTTGGAGTTCTTCATGTCAAAGTATCGTGGGTCGTTGAAGTAGTCGAAAATCGCATCCGTCCAGATGGCAGGGCCAGTGAGCTCGACGACGTTCTTATCGATAATGTTGTTCAATTGGCCCGCCTTCTTCCGCTTCAGAGTCTCCTCGGTGATGCGGACCACGATCTCACGCAGGACAGGGTGGCCAGGCTTGGACTGGATAGTCCATTGGCAAAACTGGATGCGGCGACTGTACCAATCCTTCCAGTCGGGACGATCAGGGTCTGCCTCAATGCCAATGACGAGACCCACGCTCTCTCGCGGAATGCGCTCAGGAATCCATTCGAGAGCGGAGCGGATGGCGTAAGTATCAATGTCGGAGTAGATGCCGCCGCGCGCGAGCAGGATCAGGTATCGGAAGAAGTCGGCCTTGAGGACGGGTAGTGGGAGGGCGTCGTAGGCATTGAGGACCTCGGGAACGGACGCGTAAAAGAGGCGGAGCAGGTTGACCGCGACCTTGTCGGTGATGACTTCGTGAACGAAACCAGGGTGCTGCTCGGACCAGCTAGCCTCCTGTTCGCGAAATTTGAACTCCTCGTCGGCGGGCGTCCACTTCCAAGTCTGCCAAATGTAGGCCGGGAAGCGCGTCTCGGGGTCGTAGGGGTATTGGTACGCCAGCTTGTCGTACAGTGACATCTTGGACATGTCCATCATGGGTTTCTGTGCGGCGACTTTGGGCGCTGAGTGCTTAATCTCGTTGTCGGTCGAGGCAGGAGTACTTGATGATTTTTTGGAGCCTGCCGTATCATGGTTGGAGGCAGCGACGACTGGTTTCGCAACGGCGGACGACGTGTCGTGTGAGGAGGATATTAGGTAGAAGACAACTAGGATAAATGCGGCCACCGCGATGGCTCTCCGGGGAGTGAGCATCGTAAGCTGCGTGAACAGAATGCGGATTTGTGATGGTTCGATGGTCGCCTAGATAGTCATTGAGAATCGAATCTTCTATTGGTCGGGTCGTGTAACGAATGCGCCGGCGGTTCTCGAGTGATGGAAAAGTTCAAGGTGTCGAGTTGAGTCCAGCCAGGCGGCAAGGCGCAGACTACGGCTAGGACTCGCTGATTGCTGCCAAATCAATATAGATCATGTCAGTTTGACGGTGGTTAGGACACAGAGGTGGTCGATTGGCAGTGAATTTGGACGCAATGCAAAAAGGATCGTAGGCGGGCAGAGCTGGCAGATAAATGAAGGTATTGGTGTTCGGGTCTGCACCGGGGAGAGAACTTGCGAAAGGGGGAGGGAGCTTGTCAAGGCCTTGGTTATGGAGGGATGAGCTAGTAGCGAATAGAGCGGGCGTGGGGTCTGGGGACGTAATGGCAGACGAGTAACGCACCTCGGCGAATGTTGAGCCCGTTGAACTATTGGTGTTAAATTAGGAGAGGTAAGGATTTGAGGAACGATTTGAGTTGCCAGGGGATTGCGAGCGCGAGATCAAAGCGATGGAAGATAAGGGGGGGGTGGGGAAAACGAGGTTTGGGCAGAGACAGGAGCTGCTGACTGTTTTCTGTCGCCTGTCAGTCAAAGTTGAGGGATGAACAGTTGGCGTGAAGTGCTGGCGTGGATTTTGCTTCTCTTGTAGGCTGAATGGATGATAGGCCGTCTTCTTGTTCCCTTGCTTTTTATTGATATATTATTTTTGAACCTCCGAAGGGAGGGCGGGTGTTCGGCGAAGGCGATGGGGCCTGTCTGTCGTTGCTGCGGCTGCGGCTCGACACCATGCCACGACTGTGGGCTGTGGAGTTCACGTATTCAACAACCATGTATCGTAAGCAGTAAGCAGGCTGTGTGGGTCTGCTGTATATGGTAGGTCCTAGTTAAAGACGAAAAAGTGCACTGACTACCGTATCCTTAGAATGAGTGGTGAAGAATCAATACTAAATGGCGAGAGTTGGGAAGCGAGGGAGGAGCGAAAAGGGCACCTCCCTCGATGGACAAATCGCCATCCCAAAAGTTGCTATCGAGTGGCTCCTCCATTTTTGCCCCTTTTCCTGCATGTCTCTGTCCGTACCTAGTGTGTACCTACGGATACGTATCTGTTGATACCACAGTCAGAGGTGGGGGAACCTTGGTGTCTACCTATCTACACAGTCCCTTGGTACGCGCGGCGTATGCACGTACGTACCTCTATCGCGGCGACAAGGAACCTCGTACGTCCCAACCAAACCTCTTTCGAATCTTGACAATCGTGGGACTCTGGGACGCCGGGATTCCGGGACGACGTGTCTGGCTCGCATCACGTTTGGAACCACACTACTGCACTAGGTGCTTCCGGTCTCCCGCGCCATCGTCGATGCCAACCCAATCGCGAGTCGGCCGAACAAACACACAGGGGGCAGCAAGGCGTCGACACTTGGCAATCGAGCTGGAAACATGCTACAGCAGTTGCCAAGATACGTGATGGACGGCAAGACAAGACAGATAAGTGAGACAAGGTGCGCGCAGACTCATGCTCATTACATCCATCCTACAGTCATTTTACATACTATCAAATTAGGCAGTAGGCACTGAGTCGAGAAGTATGGTTCTTCTTCGGAGCATTGCAGTTGATGTCTACCTAACACCTAAGTAGGCATGCTCGGAAGAAGCGGCCGAACGGGAGGGAGGATCAAGGCCCAGAACGCATATTCGTTGCGGGCCGACGCAGGAAAAGGTTCCATCCTCCTCCCTTGGGTGGTCACTGGTCGAATCCCCACGTCGTGTCGTCTCGCCCCAGTCTCGTATCGTGTCAAATACGCCGCTAGTCCTCAGGGTTTTACTCATTCAGATAGGCCCAAACTCTGTCTTTTCTAGTAGTAAGGTGTCCCGTACTCCCGGCACCGGGTATACATAGTAGATACCAGTACCCGTATGCTTCTCGTCATCGCCACTCACATGCGATGCTTTCGACCCCCCGTACACATGGCATTCCAACACGAGTGCCAAAGCGGCCCGCCAAAACTCTATCCAACAGCTAGCCAGAATATTAGGAATTGCAAAAATTCAAGATGGCAAACCACTGAGCCGCCGGCCTCTGCAGTGGCCGTGCCGCTCTGTTAATGCGATGCCAATGCAGGGAGAGAGGAGACAGTTGCATGCATGCATGCATGCATGCGAACTATTCGTACACGACCTGAACTAGGCACCTCGCTGGAATACTGGGCTTCAGCAAGCTTTTGGCGATTGGCATTGTGGGGATTCGCACCCGTCCCAATCGGCGCATATTCGTCTGACAAACTGGAGAAGCGGGCACTGCGAGGAGATTTGATTGCTTAATGCGGACGTATGTCGTTCAAGGAACAGAATCATACTCTGTGGAAATCCGTGGTGATGGATCAAGATGCAGACCGAACTCGATGGGAATCCCCCGAGCCATCACGACATCAGATTAATTGGCGCGTTTCAGAAGGGGCGCCCTGAATGGGGGTTCTTACCTAAAATAGTTATTTTTCTGCAGGTCGGTCTCCACTTCCACCTCACGATAGAAGGTACCTAGATACCTCAGTTACCTAGGTTAGCACCGCAGGGAGGATGCTCCTTCTTCCACTGGTTGAGGCATCCAGAAAACTGTCAAGCCCTGCCTGCCGTGGTTTCCATCTCTACCGTCACTCTGCGGAAGGCTTCACGTCTCCATTTCTCCATATCCTCCTTGCCTTCCACGAATGGGAATGGCCATCTTCGGGTGCTGCTTTCCCCGCCGTGCTGCTTGATTCAATTCCCAGCCAACGACACGGCCTTGGTGTCTGTGGAACACAATGATAAAGGGTCACTCTTGGGGCGCCTCAAAGGCAGAGGTGTATTTGTCTCGCGTTTACGGAGTACTCGGCAACGATTTCATCTGGAAGGTTGGGTAGATTGCCAACAATTTTTTGGTACTAGTGACTCTAGGCCTTCTACTAGGTAGACCCATCTTGACGTCGTCAGTAGCAGGGTGAGCACACATATATCGTAACTCTGATACGCTTGATTATGGCTCATTTTTGGTTATCCTTCCCTTTGCCCCCTCTTGGTCTTGATCTTTTCGTCTCACTTTTGTCCTATGTTCTTCTTCTTGTTTCTTGTCTTCTTTACTGCCGTCTTGACACCGTCGCATAACTTTAACCCCCCGTCTTGATGCAGTTTCAACTTGTAATTATGTATCTAGGTTGGTCCACTAGGACTTCCCATAGGGACGCGCCGTCTAAACCAAGACGCAGCAGCTTGCAGGCAAAGCCACTTCCTCATTTGCCCGTCCTTATCGAACCAACAGATTTTCCCCATTTATTATATCCCTACAAATGTGCCCAGAAACAAGTATCGACGCCGACTTCAATCCGAACCTCCGTCCTCGTTTCGCCAAGGCTGTGGACATGAGACGCAGCCTTGTAGAGAAGTCTTCGGGCCAAATGGTGTCAGCCCTGCGTATGTACTCGCGTTTGGGGCTGAGCTTTCCCTCCACCCGTTAGTCGTCTGATGTCTAAAGGTCTAGACCACCTGCTGGGCCCGCCCACCTCCTGAGAGTTGTAATGCCACGCTTTCCATACACCACTGCTCTACCTACCTACCTATTGCGGGATGACCTGACCCGATCTCCAGACTATCTCCAAGCTACGAAAGGTCTGCTCTCCGCCGTTTTTGCCGTCCTTCAACCTCTGACATTAACCACCTGGACAGTCAACGAACGAATCCAAGCCGACTCGTCAGTGACGACAACACCTGCTGGGCCGTAGCATTGCGCATCCGTCAAACCACTTGGCTCTTGGTCAAGATGATCCCTTCGACGAAAGGCGCATCAGGCTCAACCGGCTATGAGGTCACCGAAGTTTATTCGCTGCGCTACCGACGATGAAGCACGCCCCCCCCCCCCCCCTACCAATGCTCGTTTCCTCGATGATCAGCAGCCGCAACTTGATCGATGCCTTGGCCGGTTCCATGCTACAGTACGTGAGGACCACCCAGAAGCCCATACTCGTCTGCGTCCCTGGTGTTACTCTTAAACACACTGAAGGTGAAAGTCATGCAAGAAGCCGAACCTTTGTTGGCCGTGCATGTACTTCATCAAGCGGCTCATCTCGGCCTCGGTTGCCGCGGGCCTATCTGGTGCACATCAATCAGTTCTATGGTGGCAGAACTTGTATCTGGTGGTCACACCACTGTTGAGCCGTTCTGAGAATTTCTTGGATCTCAGGTGCCGAAATGTGTTACTTGCGGAAGACATTCCGCCTGACCAGCCGACTAAGCACCATGGCGTTCGTTCTGCATCGTTTCGGGCCCTGGCTGGGCACGAACCTTGCGGTGCTCGCCTGTAAGCCCGGCAGAGTGAGATTGCGTGCAACGCCAGCGGATCCGTTCCATGACCTCACTGATAAGCAGGCAAACTTACAATTTGTCTATCGACTAGGATCAGATGAAGCGGCTGTCATTGGAAAAGAGCTTAATCTTATCGGAATCACTCTTGGGTAGATCAATCTTAATCTCTGGAGATCTAACGCACGGGCTCCAATACCAGACCTTAATCCCCAATCGAATATCCCGGCATGGACCTTCATCACACGTATGCTCGACAGAACTGGAACCAAAGTTTTTTTGTTCGGCCAAAATCGATTTGCAAAAGCTTGCGCTCCCTCCAAGCCAGCGGGCAACCCCATCGTGCGCCGAGCCTGCGGGGAGACAGATGGCCGACTGGGCGCCGATAGTGGCCGCGGCCAGTAGTGGTCTTGGACCGCATGGACTTGCCGGATGAGGCAGTAGATCATCCCGATTCCCAGGGGGGGCGGCGAGATCTCCAATTATTCGGAGAGAAAACAGTACGAGTGATGACCGTTGGATTGGATAGTGTTGTGTGTACCCCTCCATTTGGGTTCGATTTCTTAGTTAACCTCTACCCCGCCGTTGCGAGACGATGGCCATGTGAAGTGGCAGTCCGTCAGGGGAATATCTACATTCACTGCCGAGTCTGATTTGAACAGCGCAACAAGTTGCACGTATGTAATCACCTGTCGCGGCATTTGTCAACTAGTATCGAATCCGTAACTGAATCATCGGCTCGTCCCATTGGACTGACTACTGCAGCATCCCCCGCGTTGTATCTCAGTCACCGTTAGAAGGTAGATAAGAAGGATAACGACCGCCGGTGTCTCCGTCTGGCTCCTTACACTTGATCACATCGGTTCGTGAACAAGATTTTGTCGATGCAAAATGGCTCCTCACCCTTTGACGGCTTTGTCCAAGGATGAGTTCATTGGAGCGCGGGACATTGTGACCCGCCTCTATGCCTCAGATTACTCTCTTTTCTTCCGCGCCATCTTCCTGCAGGAACCCAAAAAAGCCGAGTTGGTACCATTCCTCCAAGCAGAGCATGCTGGTGTCGTCACGGACGAGACGCCCCGGCCCCCACGCCGGGCGAGGCTTCAATACGATATCATCAGGCCTGGTAGTATACCCGAGTACACCCAGTCCGTTGTGGACTTGGAGTCGAAGAAGGAAGTCGAGAGGACTGTTGCGAAGCCACGCAGTCAGACCGCCTACCTACCGTGAGTCGTGGCCTCCAACTCGTCTGGCCGTATTTTGAACTGATTCAACAAAGTGACGAATTCGCGCTTTTCCAAGACAGCTGCATGGCGTCCCAGCTCTTTAAAGATGCCATGGCCGAGTTCTCGCTCCCAGAGAACTTCGCCGTCACAATAGACCCTTGGCCGTACGGAGGTCCTGACGAAGGCGAGGAGGACATTCCCCGCTACATGCAAGGCCTTGTCTTTGCGCGGGACGTCTCCAAAGGCAATCTCGATTCGAACCACTACGGCTACCCGATCCCCATTATCCCCGTCATGAATTTCATCACCAAGGAGATCGTCCGCGTCGACCGCCTCGCCACGGGCGGCGCAGACGACGGCCTTGACCCCCGCCCTCCATCATCCAAACCGAAGCCCCTCTTCACCAACACCCAGTCTCTCTCTGCCGAATACGTTCCCGAGCTCCTCGACATCCCGCAGCGCACGGATCTGAAACCCATCAACATCACCCAGCCCGAGGGCGCCTCCTTCAGGATACACGCCGACAACCTCGTCGAGTGGCAAAAGTGGCGGTTCCGCCTCGGCTTCACCCCGCGCGAGGGCGCCGTCCTCCATGACCTCTGCTACGACGGCCGCCCCGTGCTCTACCGCTTGAGCTACAGCGAACTGACGGTGCCGTACGGCGACCCGCGCCCGCCGTTCCAGCGCAAGCAGGCCTTCGACCTGGGTGACGGCGGGTTCGGGCGGGTCGCCAACAACCTCGAGCTCGGGTGCGACTGCCTTGGCGCAATCCACTACCTCGACGCGCTGCTGGCGGATACGGACGGTAACCCGACGCTGGCCAACGCGGTGGTATGCCTCCACGAGCAGGACAACGGCATCGGGTGGAAGCACACCAACTTCCGGACGAATCGCGCCGTCGTCACCCGGCTACGCGAGTTCGTCGTGCAGTGCGTCGTCACGCTGGCCAACTACGAGTACGTGTTCGCGTACAAGCTCGACACGGCCGGCGGCATCACGCTCGAGACGCGGGCCACGGGCATCATGAGCGTTGTGGCCATAGACGAGGGCAAGACCGAGTCCCCGTACGGCGCCGTCGTGGCCCCCGGCGTGCTGGCGCAGAACCACCAGCACATCTTCGCAGTGAGGATCGACCCGGCCGTTGACTCGTACGGGGAGAGCGACACGCGGGTCGTGGTGGAGGAGAGCGTGCCGGTCCCGATGAACGCGGCGACGAACCCACATGGGAACTACTACGAGATCAGGAAGCGCGTGGTGGACAGGGCGGGTTGGATCGACGCGGAGCCGCGGCTGAACCGTGTGGTCAAGCTTGAGAACACGACCAAGAGGAACCCGGTGTCCGGGCGTAACGTCGGCTTCAAGCTCACGCCGTCGGCGTCCCAGCTGATATTGGCGGACGAGGAGAGCCAGGTGTCCAAGAGGGCCAAGTTCGCGAGGCACCACGTCTGGGTCACCGGGTACCGGGACGACGAGTTCTGGGCCGCGGGAGAGTACACGAACCAGAGCACAGAGGAGATTGGTGGCGTGTGGGATATGGTCGCCAGGGGAGATTGGTTCGTTGACGGCAATGGAGCAAGTCGCAGTGGGAACACAGGTTCAGGCGAAGGGAGGAAGAGCAGCCCCGTTATCTGGAGCGTCTTTGGGTTGACGCATAACCCGCGCGTTGAAGATTGGCCTGTGATGTGAGTCTTTCGGCATCCCGTTTCCTCCTTTTTCCCACCTGACTCTATCCTTCACCGACCTCAGCCCATTCTTCAGAGCGTTGACTAAGTTACTGACTCGGATTTCGAAACAAGGCCCGTCGAGATTCATCACATGAACATCCGTCCCGCCGACTTCTTCACCGCGAACCCGGCGCTCGACATGCCGGGCAGTAAGAACAAGGAGAGCGTCATCGTCCCGTGCTGCGAACAGCGGGATAGTTCAGAGAACGGCACGAACGGCACGAACGGCACGAACGGGCTCGAAAGGGGTTACCAAGGGGTCCAGAAAGCGGCATTGACGCATCTACAAGGCCCGGGACCAGATATCCCTGCTGAGAAGGCTGGAGCGCACGTTCGGGAGAGAGAGTAAAAACGTAATGATGAGAGGATATTTTTATATAATGTGGCTAAAACCAATTAATTATTGTTTGAATTTGATTGTGGCACTTGGCCGTTCCTTTCCATTATTTCTACGCCTAGAGAATAGGGGAACCACATGACGGACTTGCGGACGCGCGAATCTGGTTGTGGAGGTTGACAGAACCGCCATTCTGCACTCCCAATCCATCTTGAGAGAATACTGTAGGAGATCTACTCTTCTCCTAGGTAGGAAGTATGTGATCGTAGTTTAGTTCCACGCGCCTATCAATGGTACTGACTACCAGCTTTGCAGACGCCGTATTTCATGAATCTGGCTGTAACGTCAACCGTCTCGCTCTCACCAGAGGTACCGATCATGTCGTCACCTTCTAATTGCTTGGGGCTCATTCCTTTGTTTGGCTAATTAATTATATTCTAAGATAGGGACACTTGAACGGGGTTGCTTTTTCTGCCAAAGGCGGGGTGATTTGGTATGGTTAATAAATTCTGGGCCTCACGCCGTTGTCAACGACCGTGAGTCGTGGGGCCAGCTAAGTCGATCGTCAGAGCGGGAGCAACGAGCTTGAACACGGCCCGTCAGGATTGTTTAAAGTCGCTAGTGGTTGCGATAGTTATATCTAACGCCGTGGTATCCAATCTAATGGCAAGGACCGATCGCGTGGTTCATCTGCTTACATACAAGATCATACAATCCTCCAGTAAAATAGGCCCGGAGCATATGTTCCTCGGCCCTCTTGTGTTTGAAACCGGCGAGCCATGGCCATGAGCTCATTTTTACCGTATGTACATCTGTATTCTTCAACGAGCAGCTTGGCCACATGCATATCACCCTGCATATTTGCCTTCGTTGGTTGCTGTTGGCGCAGCTATAGATGGATTGAGAAAGAGGGGTTGATTGATCTGCCCCTCCACCCTAAAAGCACCTGATTTTCCTCCTTGTCGTAGGCTCTTGGATTCTCTGAAATTCAGAGGTTCAAAGTCACGTCCAAATTTGCTCATCAGTAAGCTGTAGTCATAGCCAGTACGCAAGATTAGCACCCTGACATTCTTATCGCCTACGACGAAGTAAACACTGCGCAGTAATAATGAGTGTTTGGTCGAAAGGAATACTAATCATACTACCAGGCGACTGATAGCGAGGCAGACCTTGAGGTGAGTGTGGGCTGTCATATGTTCAGTCCAGTCCAGCAGAAGGCCCCTGCGATTGACACATCGTCTACACCTAGAGCCTTCGTTCGAAAACTACCAGCGTCAAAATTTCTATTCTAGAGCACAGGATAGAAAACGGCAGGTCTTACCATAAGTATAACGATGGCAGTAAGATAATTCTCATCGTATGGGATCCCTTACTATAAAGAATTTCTAACAAGCCACTTCGGAATATGCCTGGCCCAACGATGAGAGAGAGAGAAGGAAAGACTAGGTATCACTTACTGCGACCTTGGTCAATGTGCTTATTGTGCTAACTGCAGCGTCAGATATGCAGCACGAGATCTGCATTGTCACGTTCCGCGACAGATCGGGACTCGCCCCACCCTGTAACAACGACGCCAAGGTCAATCGCGTCCTCGACATTGGTACCGAAAACAGTCTGTGGACCATTGACTACGCTGATCAGCATCCCGAAGCTGAGGTGAGTCCCCAAAGGAGGGCTTCACCTAGAGACCTATACGCGTGAGCATCTAATAATCGGAAAGTTCAAATAGGTGCTGGGTGTGGATCTGTCTCCAATTCGACCTCAACAGTATATGCTTTTAAAATTTCTTTATAGCCAAACAGTTAATACCCGTTCATATAATAACGGAGTGGTTTTAGTGTGCCGCTAAACGTTAAATTCGAAGTTGATGGCATCGAAGAAGACTGGCTCTAATTGCGACTGTTCGATTACATTCATCTTTGGTTCATGAATGGATCTCTTGCCAATTGGAAGAAGCTTGTCACTAAGGCCTACAAGTGAGTTGGTTCTTTGATACAAATGGGAGGATCTCGGGATCTTCTCCGAACAACAACCTCCTGTCCGAAAAAAAAGCTGACACGTTCATGAATTTAGTAACCTCACCCCTGGTGGCTATTTCAAGATACAGGATAACAATATCACCTTTGTGTCCGATGACGGCATACTGACTTCCGAGCACCCGCTGGCCGAGTTCGGTAGACTGATTCGGGAAGCTGTCGAGAAGCTTGGGCGCAGTTTTCTCCCTGACTCCGAGCTGAAACCCCTCTTGGTCGACGTTGGCTTCGAAGATGTGACCTTCGAGAAGTTCAAGTGGCCATCCAGCCCCTGGCCCAAAGATCCTCATCACAAGCGAATTGGAGAGTGAAACTTCCACAACTTTTTTTGATGCCACAGAGGCCTTTGCCATGGCGCCCCGGACCCGTGGCCACGGCTGGACCAAGGACGAGATGCAAGTCTTCACCATCAGTGTCCAAGAGGATATGAGGGACCCGCGGATCCACTCTTACATGCAGGTGTATATTTCGACTTGTTTCCAAGGTACAAAAGCCTCTTCCGTCTGTCTCTCATTAACTCATTTCTCTAGTTACGTCCTCACTGGTAGAAAGCCGTTGAAGCCAGGCACCGGCGCCGCCTCAAGAACCAGCTGAGGACGACAATGCACCAGCCACTCCAGCACTGATCTCAACTACATCTTAGTGAAAGGATATTCTTCCTCTTTGGATAGAAAGGCCTTGTGTCGTCAAGATACAAGCCGCTGAGAAAAACGATACGGAATTTCGTTGGAAGGCATACTACGCATCTCGTCTCATATTTTCAGTACTTGACTGCAGTCACAATACACTGATATCACTTAGCGTACGCTTCAACGATAGCCAATCGGCAATCGGCAACAGTTTTAATTGTCCTCCCAACATGTATATGGAAATGCTCCGCTTCCTACGATCCATGTACAACAGCAGAGGACCAGTGCTGGTATTTCTGCCTGCTGCGAAAAGAGTTGGAAACCACACTTGAGGAATTAAACCCTCCAGACCAACACAATGGGTTCACAGCCTTCTGTGTTGTTCCCTCTGAACACATCACCATGGCGAGCCACATTCAAAGGCGCCGACTCTCCCCTCAACCCTTCTCCCACCTCTCGGACAAGTGGGCATACTGGCACTATGCCGGCGTGTGCCGAGGGGTACGATGAATGTCGGAACTGAGTTTCGAGAACGTTGGCACGGTTCCTCCGGTCCCGCGCCCCCACTTCGCTGATCAGCCCCCGACTCTGACCGGATCCGTACGCTTCACAAACCATTGTGGCAACTCTGCTCTCAACCCCGGTCATACGCAGATAAACTCGATCTAAATCAAACTAGGCGTTTTCATCATCAACCCGGAATACTTTTGATTCATTTCTTAAATAAGCCCAACTCGGTAAGAAATCGAAAGACGAGATGTAAGTTTCTCTCGCCCACTTCGTTCCCACCCGGTTTCCTCTTTTCTTCTCGCAAAGTCAAATGTCATCTATGCCTGTGAGTGCCTGCCATCCAGGCGCGCACTATGCTCTAGCAAAGTACGTGAGTATGTGGCGCCGCAGTCTTTTCCCGACCACGACGACACGTTCTGTTAACTCCTCTTCCGTTCCCCTATACATCAACGGGTGGTATACACTGGACCTCTGCCCACCAAGAACGTTTCGTTGTTTCGCTGGGTGGCTTCCATTCGTCAGATTTAGTCAACCTGCTTCTCGCAGCCGATTCTACCAAGCAGCTCCTTGCGGTCGCTATGGCCCGGTAGGCTAACGCCCGACGCGCTCGCTTGCCTCTTGATACCCGTTCTCCGCTCCCAGCTCTTGAGGTCAATGTCCTCAACGCCAACCTCCTCCTCGAGTGCCTGGGCCTCCTCGTAGACGTAACCCTCCTCCTCCTCTTCGCATTCGCCTTCATCGTCACTGCGGGTGTCCTCGGCGTTTCCACCACGAAGGACCTTCATGACGACACGCAGAATCATAAAAAACCACCCAATGGTAATTACCTGCAAGACAAGTAGAGTGGAAAGGAACGACCAGCGGATAGTAGAGTTCCAGCAGACAATGCCGTTTGTCTTATAGAAAGGTTCTAGCATCCAGCCCTTGCTTTCAGGTATGGGCAGCGGTCCATTGAGGTTGGGGTGCTGGCCTGTGTAGCAGGAATCGGGGATCTCTTCGGGAATGTGGGTGTAAATGGACCAGCACACCATCATGTAGAAGACGTGACGGGCAAGCAGCCACGACAGAACGAAGGCGCCGAACATGAGATCGCAAAGCGTGTTGAGCCCAACGTACTTGAGGCACTTGGCGAGCTGCGAACGGTTAGCAGATAGAACAGGAAAGTCGGAATAACGTAACGCACGGGGAAGAATAGGTCGACGACATCCATGAGAACAAGGATTAGGTTTCCGACGCGAGTCTGGTGGTAGCTGTAGCAGGCGGAAATCAGGGTGCAAGTGATGATGTGGTGGGTGAACATCTGCCAGTGATCCTTGCGACGCTCCTCAATGTTGATAACGAGAATCTGCTGCAGCCAGAAAGCCCATTGCGCCAGGATGTAGAACTTGTTGAGGCCGGAAAGCTCGCGCTGGGGCCAATTCGTCCACAGCTCCCTGAGGTTCAGCCAGTAGGGAGATGTCTTGTAGATGTACTAAGCGGCCCGTCAGCGACTGTCGCGATAATGTTGTCTAGGTCGCCAATGCTAACTTACCATGCCCAAAGGCCAGAAAACCATGTAGTAAACCAACAGCCATGCCTGCTCACTGAAGCGAGTGAGGTCCTTTCGTTTCTTAATGCCCCATCCCTTGGCTAAGGGCGCCATCACGTATTCCATGGTCGCTGCGCGGAGGCCGGTAAACAGGACGATACAGAAGGCGAGGAGGCAGGAGTCGCCAAGGCCGGCACCATACAAGCCAGTTTGCTGGTTGTAGTATGACAGGGTGAAGAACTTGACCGTGTGAGGCTGCGCCTTCGGGATGAAGAAGTGGGCAAGGAAGAGGAGGGCAAGGAGATTGAAGGAGAGACCTGGGAACGGTGCATGTCAGCTTGGTTGAACGACGAGCAACGCTGCGAGGAGTGGAAGAGTAGGCAGGAAGCCCAGGAGACAACATACCGATTTGGTTCTCGACCATCCAACGGCTCAACATCTTCCAGGCGCTGTCGTCTGTCCTCCTAACCCTTCGGATAAGCACGACATTGACATTGTTGTGGCCTTGCTGGTAAAGGGGACCGTTCATAAGCTTCAGCTGCTTGGTGCTGGCGTTGCGTTGGATCTGTGGGATGGGGCTCAAGAGGGGCTTCTCAAATGTTGGCGACGAGGCCCCATTACTGGCGGTGCCGCTCATGTTGGGCGGCTGAGCTTCAATTGGAACTCAATTGAGGTACTGGGAAGGGCGCCGACTTGCGATCCAAGTGGCGAGGCAAAGCGCGATGCTTGGCGACGGCTAGGTCGTGGGTTGGCGTAGGGTTTCGCCGGGGCCAGTCGTGTCCCAAACCTTGTGTGGTGGGCGTGTCTGGAAAAGCGTGGTGACTGCGGACACTCGGTATCAAGACGGGCTTGGACGGGAGAGCGCGCAAGACGTAGACAGGTCTTGGTTCCGCAAAGCGCGAGAGGTCGTCACTGGCGCTTCTTGGTTCGTGGTCGAGGGGGGAGGGAGGGAGGGGAGAAACGAACGTGTTGGGTGGTTTTAGGGAGGTTGAAGATCTAGAGGACGGAGATGGAAGGGCGATGGGCACCGAGGACGGAACCGTGGACAATAGCGGTAGCAGGACTGGCTGGAGAGTTCAGAGGGACGGCGGTACTGCGGTACACACTGGAACCCCAAGGTAAAGCCCGACTTCAGGTTCTGCTCTGTTGGCCCCCCGGAAGCTGCTAGGATCAGGAGTGCAGCAGGTGCGCTCCGCGGTGTGTGGTGCGTGGTATGGTGTGGTGGGCTGCGGCGTTGCTTCCTTCTGGTCACTTCAACGTGGGTATCCGTACGGGTACGGATGAATACTCAGTGATGGTACCTGTGCGTGCTCAGGGTGGGCAGCATCTGAAGTGGAGAGAGCGGGACGGGGAGCGCTGGATGCCAGACTGAGGTGGGAGGGGAGGGCGAAAGTGCTCTGTAGTTTACACGTATTCGGAAACGAAGAGGAAAACGGAGAACAGCAACAGTTGGCTGGGGGAGGCCTTGGAAGTTCCAGGTACTTGTTTGATATCGCTGTCTTTAGCATTTGGAGGCTTTCTCCGTTATGGGGCTAAACCAGAAAGTAGCAGTAAATGGGACCGTATAAACAGAGGTGGCAAGTACCAGGTACCGAAGAAGCTCTCTCCTTTCCACGCAAAATTGAGAAAGTCCAGCTCATCGGGAAGAGAGAAGGAGAAGGAAAAAAAAGACACTCCACTTTTCCCTTGCCTTGCCCTTGTCCACGACCCCCCCGGGAGGAAGAAGTCAACCGGAGCAGTGCCAAGCTGCAGCCACTTGTCCAGGGGAAAGAGGGTACGAACAAAGACAGGAGGGGACAACCGATCTCAAGATTATACCTTCAACAGGCACCAGGGGCAGGCTGAGAAGACGTTAGCAGGCTCTTGAAAGCGGTCTGGCTCCCACTTGCCAGCCACTCCTAAAAGAGGCACTCCAAAGCTCATCGAAGGCGGTGAAGGACACTGCCGTTACGACTCTGTCTGTCTATGGAGGAAAGACAACGAGGAAAAAAATAGGGATGCTGGACATGGGAAAAGTGATGTGGAGGGGAGTGGGCAGGGGGTTCAGCCAATAGAAGCACTGGAATTCTTGATTCCCCTGATCAGCCGTCGTCAGTACGTACTATCAGCTCTGACTACCTAGGTACCTTAGGTACCTATGGCAGGATGAAGGCGCTCAAGGGGGTGGGAACCCTTATCCCATTCGGGGCTGGCTGCAGATGCAATTGGACAGAGCTTTAATTGTGAAAACCACTTGCGTACCTTCACTCTACGCTCCCTAGCAGAGACTGATGGAACCAACTACTCACGGACAGCGCCAGTGTCCATTCAACAATATTGATGCATGAAGTCCATCTGGACTGAAAACTCGATTGGGAGGTCGGCCAACCCAATTCCAAAATCGAGACTGCACAGGCGCGGGGATGGACTGAATTCAGATGGGCTGAAGATGCAGAAAGCGAGACGACAAAGAGAGAGAGAAGGAGAGGTCTATCCCTCTCTCGACAAGTTTCAACAGTGTTTGTTGTGTCACTATTCCAATTGGATGCCTCGGGTTCTTCGCCGCTCTTCTCATCTTTGTGAGGTTGGTTCCTTCGTCTCTGGATGGGCGCCGAGGATGGCAGTGGTGTAGGCAAGGTCGACTGTCAATCTTCATCTTGTGCCATCTTTAAAATGAGTGATTTGCCCACCCCAGCCTCTTATCGGCCGTTTGATATACATAGTACACTGTATAGTGCCCCTGTCAATCATGCCGTCAAGTTTTTATTTTATTTTTTGCTCCTTGTTTGCTGTATCTGCAGTGTGTTTTCACACTATCTTAGGTACTCCGACCTTCTTTTTCTCTCGCAGCTCTTAGACCTTTATCTTGTACCCCTATTTCTCGTCCACCTGTGCGACCAGTAAGAACAACAAATATCCCTTTTCGTCCAGTATCAACAAACGTATCCCCCTCCTTTGACACCGCCTTGTCCCTTGACGGACTCCCTAAGCCTAGACTAGAAAATCCGACCCGTACCTGACGGCGGCCAGGCCACCCCACACACCCTGAGCTCCCCTAACACAAACCCCCCATGATGGCGACATACGGCAGCCAATTGTCATCTCTCGCAACAAGAACGAGGCCGTCGCCAAGGTGTGGCCGCTTACCTCTCGTCCTGGACTCGAGTAACCCTGATTTATACTGCATGCATACATAAATCGTTGAATGTACGAATCCTTGAAGAAGCCTGGCTGCCCGCCAAAGACCCCGCGATCTCTGACAGGACGGTGCAGCCTCCTGTGCCACAGACCAAACGTATCGCATGTCAACAGACGAATACGGTCGGACTTTAACTTCGCGGGAAACGCTCGCTCTTACTTCCGTCCGTGGATGCATTGTCTACCCGTCGTTCCGTGCTGCCATCTAGAAAAATACAGCCCTGATATCTTGGTATCCAATATGTCAGTTTGACGCTCCGCGTTTCATCCCATCCACTCTCAAAGCGGTCTATTCTGATCGGGGCGTCGGCATCACCTTGTCGAGACCGCCACTTCCAGTGTGCTGTGTCTGTAGTGTAGCACGTGTGGGTACATTGCCGCGGTGATGGCGCAAGAGCTACAGAAAAGTTATCGGCATCAGACCACACATTTGTCTAGCGCATACTACGGGCAAACGATTCAGGGAGAGATCAACAAAGTACACTACGGATACCCTGGTGGCCCGTCATTAGTTATTTGCGCTTGCTGCCAAGTCCATTCAGGAACAATGGCCAAGTAGCCAGGAAGGTGCCGGCTTCAACATCCCGTTTTGACCCTATTTCTGTTTGGAGGATGAAACTCTGATCTGTGCATGAGATAGTCCTCTATAAGAGTCATATGTTAAAGCGAACAGAATCTGGAAGATGTCGCCCGTAGATTCTGTTCATAATCACATGACCCCACTTACGCCACACTTTACCCCAGACTTGAATGTGTCAGCCACATACATGTGCATTACCTATGGTTCCTAGGTAAGCAGTGACCTTCGCAGCAGCCGCCACCCCACATGATCCCGTCCTGACGACACCACTTACTCCGGCGCTTCCTTTCACTGTCCACAGGCATCCAACACTTTCCTAAGCGTTCGTCCCGAATCACCCGACGTTAGCATACAAAAAACAGTAGCTCGTCCACGACGACTGACAGAATCCTGCTCGTACCACGCGAACGATCGTCAACAACAGGCAAAAGCAACGATGGCTTCAACCGCAAAGTACGTCCCGGCGCCGACTCAGGACCCTGACGAACCTTCGCGCTACACGCAGGCACCCCCCGCCTACCAAGCCGAAGCCAGCGCCGCCTCCGACACGGATCGTCTCTTTGGCGGCGGTGTCCCTCGCCGCAGCGAGGACGACATCCCGGATGACTTCAAGGTGCGTCTCCTGCATTCCGATCGCCCACTTTGTTGCTTGCCCACCTCGTCGCAAGCTTGCGATGTTGAATACCATCACTAACCCTAGCTCTCACAGTACGGCGGCTCAGTAGCAGAGGCCACGATCGACATCCGCAACCAGTTCATCCGCAAGGTCTACGCGATCCTCACCGTCCAGCTACTTGTCACCGGCGGCGTCTCCACCATCAGCTTCTTCAACGATGGTTACAAGGCCTGGATCCAGGACCATCCGGGCTTGGTCTTCGGCTCCGTACGTTCATCCCAAACTCCGCTTTCCCAAATTGCAACCTCAACTTGACTGGACTGCAAACTGACTTAATCCCTCCGCAGCTTCTCGGTGCCATGGTCATGATGCTCCTCACCTTCTGGAAGCGCAAGTCGTACCCGACTAACCTCCTCTTCCTTTCGGCCTTCACACTCATGGAGGCCTATTCCATCTCCGTCATCGTCTCCTTCTACAAGGCCGGCATCGTCCTCAATGCCCTCTTCCTCACTGCAGGCATCTTCATCTTCCTTACCGCCTTCGCCTGCCAGACCAAGTATGACTTCACCTCCTGGATCCCTTACCTCGGCGGCGCCCTCTGGGCTCTTGTCATCTTCAGTTTCATGTACATGTTCTTCCCTAGCAGCTCCACCGGCGAGCTCATCTACGGTGGCATCGCCGCACTCATCTTCAGTGCCTACATTCTTGTCGACACCCAGCTCATCATGCGCCACCACCATGTCGAAGAGGAGATTGCGGCCTCTATCAGTCTGTACCTTGACATCATCAACCTGTTCTTGGCCATTCTGCGCATCCTGAACAGCCAAGAGAGCAACTAAACTGCCACTGGTTCTACTCCCTACGGATAACAAATTGTATCAAGTCTGCCAGCAGGTAGCTAGTGTGGTTTGACATGAGATTTTTTCAACGGAAATTGGCCAGGATACGTCGTGGTTGTTTTGTATGGAATAAAAACCTTGGGGGTATGAACCCAGATTGGGGGTTTCCGCCTTTATCCGTTGCCCTCCGTTTGTAGTGCAGTATCTCTTTATAGTAAACTTATTTAATCACATTTTTATTTGGTGTTTCATTACAGATTGGCATTTGTGATGGGAAAGCCTGTTGAATTGGAGAAGCAGTAAAGTAATTTGATATCAGCATTAGAAGTCCACTAGTAGAAAAGGAAATGAGGGTGGGGCGCGAGTGAAAGGGCTACAAAAGGCACAGCTGGAAAGATGCGGGGGGCGGGTTGGTAGGGATAAAAGAAACAGATCGATGAGCAGTTTGCGGTTCGCAAGTCTCATGCCCCTGGTATGCCCCTCGACCTCGCCCAGAAGCCTCTCGAACCACCTCCACAAGATCATAGACCGCCTCTTCCCACACCCTGCCAACCCGATGAGCCTCTCCCAGTCGTCGCAGTCGTAGACCTTTTTGGGGTTTTATCTTCGTGTCGAAAGAAACGAACTCGCATAGGGGAATAATGTTCTTTCTCTTTCAACACAGCACGGAAACCAACGCCAGTATAGAAAAAGACCAAGGTCGCATTTCCGGCGTAACCATGAGCGGGGGCGGCCAGAAATGTTGCGCTAGTTGGCTTCCTGGTCGCCGTTGGCCTCGGCGGGATTGCCGGCTGCTGCAGACTGTTCTCTCTGCATACGGGCCTCGATCTCGCGGAGTTGGGACTCGCGCGCCAAGAGCTCCTGGCGCTTCTCGTTGATCTCGCGCTGGACCTTGATCTCGATCTCGCGGAGCTTCTCCTCTTCTCGCCGCAGCTGTTCCTCCTTGAGGCGCACAGATTGCGAGGCGAGGTCCTCGGGGTTCATGGACGAGTCACTGTGATAATTGTCAGTACATGGTACGACCGGGAAGTAGGGGGGTTTGGGGAACATACACTCCAGCACCACCCTCGACGGACTTGCTGAGCTTCTCGGTACGGTAGTTCTCGTAGAGGAAGTCGTGGGTGATTTCCTTCAGATCAGCCAAGTGGCTGTGGAGGAGGGCAGAGCGAATGGCAAGGAAGTCGGAGTGGCGCGGGTTGTCAACTTCGACGACACCCCAGGGATACTGGCGGGCACGGACGGTGCGGCCACCGATCTCGACGCTCTCCTCGGAACCGACAATAGCAAACGGCATCAAGCCTCGCAGCTCGGCGTTTTCTTCGACGGTGTCCTCGTCGTCCTCCTCAATGTCGTAGGGGAAGTTGTAGACAGGAATGCGATAGTGCTCGATATCCTCCATCACAAGCTTCTTCGACTCAGCGAGCTCAGCCGGAGTCAGGGAGTCGGCGCGGCCAATAACTGGAATGACGTTGACACGGGGGGCAAGGCGCTTCATGAGCTCAATGTCCAGCTCGCGGAGACTCGAAGTGTGTTAGTAGCGGTTCAAGTTGGCTTGGATTGGACAGTGTGCTTACCCGTGACCCGTAGGTGTGATAAAGTAGAGCATGGCGTGAACACGGTTGTCTCTGAAACGCGGGTTACGCTTGATACGGGACTCCTCGGCGAGAATGTCGTCGTATTGTCTCTCGAGGTAACCGACAATCTCGGAGAAGCTGCACGCACGTGTCAGTACCGGTGAGTGTGTTGGGATTTTCGCGGGACGCCATACCTGGCTTCATTGTCGATTTGGTCACCGAAGCCGGGAGTGTCGACAATGGTCAGGGAAATACGGGTACCCTCCTCATCAAGCTCTAGCTCTGTAAGGCTGTCAACATTTTGCTTCGGTATCGAATGCTCTGGGGCAGTAGTCACGTACCGACAGTGACGGGCTTGATCTTGACACCGTCCTCAACAGAGGCGGCGGCAGCATCATCCGCATCCTTGTGGCCGAGGACACTCTTTCCGCAAAGAGTGTTGACGAAGGTAGTTCTTCCTGTAGGTGCGAGTGTCAGTCGACGGGACTCCGGGTTCGAGCAGACTAAGATTGTCGAGGTTGGGGGAGGCGTACCAGTGCCAGATGCTCCGCAGACCATCAAACAGAACTGGATTCCCTTCTTCACGTTCTTCTTTCTGCGCATCATCTTCTGCAAGTTCGAAAACAGTCAGCGATTGCATATCTCGGAGGATGCAGATGCATTGGAGCCATGTCTGCTACGTGGAGTCGGAGGGAGGAATTATTCATGGGGGCCGGAATAGTGCAATAGATGAATAGGGAGGCGGTGGCCAGACATACGGCGGTGATTGAAAGTAACTCCTAGTCTAGAATAGAGTCGGTAAAGGAGTCGTCGAACAAATCAACGACTGATGAAGAAAAAAGAAGAGTGATGATATCGTTCCAAGGGACAGCGAGCGGCGTGTTCGTGTCGTGGTTGAACGGAGCAAAAGGACTGTTGGATCCCAAATGTCGTTGTTCTGAAATGGGACCTGGGGGGGTCGGACGGGAAGTGCAGGTGCTCAAGGGGACGGGAGGGTCTTGACCGACAGGTGCTGGAAAATGCAATTTCACACAAAATGTTGCGGCAGGACGTCCCCAAGCAGTCCCCAGCCAATTGTTTGCTTGCTCCGGCGTGCCCAATTCAGGGGCCAGCGACTCTCCGGCCCACGCTCCTTTCCCCCCAAATTGGCACTAAGCCATTCTCGGAAAGATACAAACAGCGGGGTATCTTCGGGCATTATTGGCGGCGAGAGAGGAGAGAGGACGATAAGTCACGAGACTGGCACCTGGTCAGTGCTGAAGCTTCCCGGCGCCGGCACTGTTGGTCTGCAGTGGCATGTTGGGGCGCGCTACACCGTGCGTGGTGAAGGGCCCAAAACATGTATGTTTTGCGTCTTGCCGAGGACGGGTGGCTGACAGCTGGTCGTCCCTTATGTGACAGCTGTCCTGCCTAAACGCACCCAAACCTCAGTGAGTCTTCATCTCAACCACAGTAGGTACACAGGCAGACAGGCAAGCACGGTGCAACCTGCCTGTACCTCTTCTACCGTGAGTCGCTGGGCGGACGAAACGGGCGATACGTACCTCATTCCAACAACGTCCCAGGCTGAGTCTGCTGAGACATATTCTCGAGATCGATTTTGGCAAACATTCGCCTTGGTGCCCTTTTCCCTCTCTCCTTGCAAAACGTCGCTCGTTTGAGGCTTTTTGTACTAGCACTTTGGCCGTTTGTTTGGTTGCTATTGCTACTACGTACTCCATACGCACGCACACCTGCCAACGTCCACTGCTACCTACTTGACTCCGGCAGCTTCCTGACTCGGCCGTCCAGCTGACTCCAAAGCCGCGCACCCAATCGCTGCCATTGTTTAAGAGACCATCGTCGTCGAACACCGTCAGCTGGACGCCTCTCTCCCCAAAAGATGCATTTGTAAACGATGGTATCATAACGGACAACTTCAGAAATAGCAGAACATCGGCTTGGCCCGCCGGGCTTGCATTCTCATCGTGCTCATCCCTTGTTACAGAGAGACCCTCACAGACAGGCCGCGGCACCACCGACTCGCTACGGCGACTTACAGGCACAAGGCCATCTCCATCACAATGAATACCCGCCCGCCCATAGAAACGTCACCCTCTACTGTGGTCTTGTCCGCGTCGTTCAACAGTGATGCTAGCTGCTTCTCTGTTGGTCTCAACTCGGGGATATGCAGTGAGTCGTCGTTTGCTGCTCAAAGGGGGGAGGTGTCCCTAACAACACGCAGTCTTCCATACCAAATCGTGCCTCCTGAAGGCGTCCAGAGGTGTGTGCATATTGCTCTCATTATCAACACAAAGAGAAAACTAAAATTCTGAACCAGACTTCAATGCCGGTATCGGTCTTGTCGAGATGATGGGGACGACAAACTACCTCGCCCTCGTCGGTGGTGGCAGGCAACCCAAGTTCAGCACCAGCAAAGTATGCATCATATAATTTAACCTATTAGACTCATACTCACCCCATCTGCAGACCATCATCTGGGACGACATGAAAGGAAGAGTCGCAATAGAAATCGCCTCTCTGACTCCGGTGCGTGGCGTCCGCATCGGCCGCAACCGGATCGTCGTTGCGCTTCAGAACAGCGTCCGCGTCTACTCCTTTGCGAAGCCGCCCGACCTCCAGTCAGTGTATGAGACCACTGACAACCCACTCGGTCTTGTCGCCATGTCGGACAAGACGATTGCGTTCCCAGGCAGGACGGTAGGCCAGATCCAACTTGTCGACCTTGGTACTGGGAATGTCAGCATTATCCCGGCTCACTCATCTGCCCTCCGAGCCATACAAGTGAGCCCGGATGGCGAGCTGTTGGCTACAGCAAGTGAAATGGGCACTCTAATCAGAGTATTCACAACCAGCAACTGTGCCCGCTTGGCCGAGCTAAGACGCGGCGTCGATCCGGCGACCATCTTCTCTCTCGGCTTCAGCCCCGAAGGCACGAAGCTGGCTTGCACATCAGACAAGTCCACTCTGCACGTGTTCGACGTTCCACATCCCAAGAAGCCCGCGGTCGTGCCAGCTAGCCCAACATCATCGCAGATGGGGGGATCCGGCATCCTCGCGGGCCGACCAGCTGATGACGGCAAGGGGCGGTGGGGTTTCTTGGGGAAGATACCTCTGATGCCGCGCATGTTTTCGGACGTATACTCGTTTGCCTCTGCGCCATTCGAGGCTGGCGATGACCCCTTGATCGGCGGGCTGCCCCTGTCAGATCAGACGACGCTCGGAACGACAAGGCCTCAAAAGGGCGTTATCGGGTGGATCACTGAAGATAGTCTGGTTGTGATTGGCGCCGGACAGGACGCCAGGTGGGAGAAGTTTGTAATATCCAAAGGGCAAGACGGACGCCGATACGTTGTGAGAGAAGGTTGGAAGAGGTATTTGGGTGGCGCGTAATGAGCAACAACAGCTGCTTGTCAAACAGACTCTTGGGACTCGTGTAGTTATAGGTTCACGGTATGGCGTTACATTTGGAGTTGCCAACGGACCAGGCATTTAGGGGTATCAGCGATAGCATCGCTCATTTTATTAGGTATCATAACATCTTTGAGATCACGGCGACCGACTGCGGCTTCGCCTCCTGTATCGCCGCTCATCATCGCGATCTCTGTGCCGTCTATGGGTTCGTTCTGCCGACTCGTCAGGGTCACGATGACGGCGTTCCCGCCTCTTCTCGTCGTTCTCGCCCGTGTCCCTGTCTCGCCTTTCTCTGGAGCGTTCTTTACCCCCCCGGCCTCTGTCGTCCCTTTTGGCGTCTCTGTCCCGAGACTCATCCCGCCGTCCATGTCGTCGAGAGCTTCTGTCGTCGTCCCTGCGGTCCTTCTCGTCTGGCGTGTCGTCGCGACGTGACCTCCTGCTTCGGTGCCTGTCCTCGTCGTGACCAGCGTCCCTCATTTCCTCGTCACTTTCATGTCTCCGTGACCTATGCGACCGGTGCCGATGCTTGTGTCTCTTTTTCTTGTCCGACTTGTCGTCCCGTCGCCGCAGCGCCTCCTCGATCTCCTTCTTCTTCTCCTCAATCAAGAACCCCTTCATGGGGTCATCCTCGTCATGGTCCCTTATCAGAAGAGCAAGCTCTCTCTCTTCAGGAAGCATCGGCCGAGCATCTTGCTCCTCTTCCGAGTCTTCCTCGTCCGTCTTGTCCCCTCCTTCCAGCTTCGCGACCGTCGCCCAGTCCACCTTGCCCTCATCCGGGTCCTCGTTTTCATGGAACTTATAGCGCGCGTGATCCACACTGATGAGACGGTCCTTTATGGTCGCGCCGCCAAGGTTGTCAACCGCCAGGTCGGTACTGCGCTGGTCCTCGTACTTGAGCCAGCCGAAGCCCTTGGACTTGCCCGTCTCTTTGTCGCGCGCCAGCTTGAGCCAGACAGGCTCGCCGAATTGGGAAAAGACGGTGATCACATCGCCCTCGGACATCTCGTATGGAAGGCCGCCGAAGTATATGTAGGCAGTGTCGCGGTAGTCGACGTGCCAGGAGCCCTCGGGGGAGCTGTTCGGTTGTCAGTACAATGTTGCAGATGGACGAGGAGGGCGCACCGGCAGCTTACATTCCATTTTCGATCTCCTTCCTGTTCAGCTCCTGGATGGCGCGGATCTTATTCATTGCGGCGGTCTATATCAAGCCCCCCGTCTCCTCCTGGTGAGGAGAATTGCCGAAAGTCTTTTGGGGGGGGGGGGGGGGGGGGGGGGGAGGCTGGAGTAGAAGCTGCAGATCTGCAAGGCTGAAGAAGGTAAGCTTGCCAAAGCTTCACGAAAAAGGGCAACTAGATGGTCGCGTAGCACGGTTAGTGCGTCATCTGCCCCCCAATGCACCCCCTAAAAAACGACCCTTAAATTGGTGCTTCAGTAGCACACTGTGCTGCAATGGTAATGCAATGTCACTGCACCCACCACCCACCATCCAATGGCCGGGAAAACAGCCGGTCCGGAGCTTAAATTCCCCGACACTTGGGCGAAGGGGGCACGAGTGAAGAGGCATTGAGATTGTATGCTGGTCCCAGGACGGCACTACCATTCGTTCTGGGTGAAACCTCAATTTCTAGAGATATTGTCTTCGCCTGCCTTGCCCCGTATATCTCTTTCTATCTTCAAACCTTTTTGCCTGCGAATTACCGTAAGCCACCCCACCTCTCGTCTACACCGCGACTCGACGCGTCTATTTGTCTTCGCTTAAAGCTGTCCACTGTCAACCCACCCACCGCCCCCAACCAAGATACGATTCGGCACCCACCACCCGCCAGTCCCATATGCGTCCTCACCAAAGAGTTCAATCATGACGGCAAGCGCGAATCGGGTGTCCACGTACACCTCGGCTTCGGCAGGGTCGGACAGCCGCAATGAGGAGAAGAAGGACCTCTGGAGCTCCATGCTGGACAACGTCGCCAGCGGCAGACGGTTACCTGAGAAGAATATGATCGTGCTGGGAGGGTCTCCAGATTCGCAAAGGGAGTTTGTAGAGTCGCTATCCCATAGCAACGAAAAGCGAACTCTGGACCGCCATAGCTCTAAGACGCCCCCCATCGCCAACAGCTTCGCTCTCGGATACACCTACTACGACGTAATGGACGCCGACCAAGAAGGTCCGTGTGAATCGCTAGCTAGCCCGGTGACTGATACTGACTTGGCCAGACATACTGGCGCGAATCTCTCTTTACATGCTGTCGACACCAGCAGAATCTTTCCCGAAACTTATCCAACCCCTAATCACTCCCGAGTCGATACCGAACACCCTAATGGTCATACTCCTTGATTGGTCCACGCCGCATTTATGGATGCGTCAACTCAGAGAATGGATTCTGTTCATGCGCAGCATCCTCGAAAACTCCAGCCACGAGTGCCAAGCGACAATGGAGGAGGTGATGGTCAGCTGGCGGGACAGAGGCAGAGGCGGCGGCTCGACGAATCTAGATGGCACAGGAGCGGCTACAAGCGAAGGGGACGTCGCTCTCCCTCTTGGACCCGGTGAATGGGAAGAAGGTATTGGTCTGCCACTCTGCGTGGTTTGCCAGAATGTGAGAGAACATCTTGCCAATGACAGGTGTGCGTATGCTAAATCATCTTGTAGGCGGAGAAAATGGAGGCTTTCGAGAAGACCCAAGGGTGGAAGGAGGGTGATTTTGACCAGGTGCTGCAGTATCTCCGGACAGTGCTTCTGAGACGTACGTACGATCCCTGCTGTGGCTGTGGAGGAACACTAACATTGCTTTTTTCAGACGGCGCATCCCTGATCTATACCACCCCGAATGTCCCTTCATCCATAACCAGTTTGGTGCACTCGACTCTGGGTATTACTTCCCTGCTGAAACGCCAACCTCTGAAGCACAACGTGATAGACAGGGACAAGATTCTCGTCCCGCCAAACTGGGACTCTTGGGGCAAGATTCGCGTGCTGAGGGACGGCTTCGATGTCGAGACTACCAGCCAGGGCTGGTCGCATGACCTGCAATCAACTTTCCCTTCACCGGCCATGACCACCGAAGGGCTGAACATCCTCGCGAAGGCAAGGGCCGACGGCGACTACAACGGCGAGGTATGGTCCTCCGCGGTGGCGCCATACGAGGACTGGATCCGCGACCTCAGCAACGCCGGCAGCGCGATATCTTTCGCGGGCCGCGATGGAGACCCTTCGCAACTGGAGATGTCGTCAACAGACACGCAGGAGTTCTTGGGCTCCAGCCTTCAAGTTTTGGAAACCCACCGCAGCCGGAACGCCGAGGACAAGAAGTCCGACGCCTCAAAGTCGAGAGCGGGCCAGCGTGCTGACGAGTCGGATTCCAGTGCTTCGCGGCAGGGAACAGACGGCAAGATTAGCCAGCACATTGGACCTGTGCAGTTTAACATGGGAGGCATCCAGGTTGATGCCGACGACATGGTCCAGCGGCTTAAGGTAAGCTTGTTTTTTCTTCCCCTCTTTCCTTTGAAGAAACTCGGCATTATACTAAGACAAGACCAAAGGACCGCCAGGCATACAGTGCTGCTGCACAGGATCCCACCACGCCACCGGGTGACACCGCGGAGGAGAATCCCGATGAGATGGACAACGACAAGCTTCAGGCCTTCTTCAGCGGCTTGATGAACCGCAAACAACCCGCAAACGGTAGCCCTCGCGGCTGAGGGCGCTGGTCAGTCAGTCGTGGAAGAAAGGAGATGGAACACCTCCGCATCTGCTTGCCGGGCTGAGTACTTTTCTTCCGAGCCAGACTGAGCCAGAAGGCATAGCCGCTCATTCCTAGGGCACGTTCATTTTGGAAGAAGTAGAAGGAGAGTGTACCATATGTGGCAAAGTCTGGGCCGCGAAGGTTGCAGCGGCGAGAATCTTGGAAAACTTGCCGGGACGCTGGAGGGTTGGAAGGAGGAAGGCAAGTTACAAAGACGAGATATGTGGCGGTTGGGCGGGCTTCGTCATGTCGAGCAGTCAGTCAGCCCGTCAGTCGCTGTAGAATAGATACCCCGATTAAGACAAATGGTATGCGTTTGGTGTTGTCCTTTCAATCCAAGGTTTTTTTTTTTTTTTTTTGCGTCCATCTGTGTGCTACAAGTCACCGACTCAGCAACACTCACTTGCAGATGTGTACGGAATATTCGGCACTGCCGATCACCGCTCGCCCGAGTTCGACATCCGAAAGCCCCCCCCCCTGCCCACGTATAGTCCTCCTTCGGAGCCCTGGGCGAGGGACGGATGCTCAGATCTGGGGAGAGGCTTCACCAGCTCACTCAGCGTAGATGTAAGTCGCCTCCCCACTCCCCGTGGAAGCGGGTTGCGCCTTGGAAAGTCGATATCTTGAGTCCATCTGTCACGAGAGAGATCAGGCACGCATGAGCGGGCGGCGGGGTGTATCATTGGAGGGGGTGTACGGGGGCGCCTTCGACACGGATCCCCGTGGCATATATCAGTGTCCGTTGGTGTTGGTTGGTATTCCACCTAGATGATGGAATGCAAATCGGGCTTTCACCTCGAGACCGATGGTCCCCCGGGACGTCACAAGACACAAAGTACTGATATATATCCCCTGACGTATCTGTTGGGCGCCCGGGGATGTTGTTGCATCATTCGATCCGTGCTCTGGGAAGAGAAGGGGATGGCTAGATGCCGCCAAGAAAAAAAGTCCCGTTCGCCTGACGTCGAAGGCCTCTCGCCTGCACGGAGCTGCAACCTATTTGCCGACCCAACTCCGAGGCTGTAGACTGTCTCCGTCCGCCGCCGGGATGGATCGCGCTTACGATGGAGCCAAATGAATGGCTTCAGTCTCACACTGGAATCACCCTATACCGAGAGATCGAAACAGCAGACAGCACCAGCCTCGAGTTCGGTGAGAGGTAAGACATTGAGCTACGGCCTCACTTTATACCAAAAACGTGTCTAAAGATTGGGGGTACTCGCGCCACCATGAAACTCCGTCCAACCACATGACCTGCCTTGCATCTCCATCGAATTCCCATGCCGAGAACGTTTTTATTTTATGTTCATTTTT